CTTTGGAATTCATGAACCACGTGGTCGGTGTGTGGAGGTTATAGATTTTCAGTTGCCTGTTGGCGGCTACTTGCATGTCTGTTGGTGTATAGAGCTGTTGCATAGTTGGTGTGGTTGTTGCCAATGGTAGAGGAGTAGTTTTGTTAGTGTAGTTGTAACCAATGGTAGAGGAGTAGTTTTGTTGGTGTAGTTGTTGCCAATGGTAGAAATATAGTATTCTTAGTGTAGCCACTTAGTGGTGTGTCGATGCCATACATTGATGTGGTTGTTGCAAATGGTAGATGAGTGTGTTTATTTGTTCGTTTGTTGCCGTATGGTGGTGTGCATAAGGCAGTTTCAATGGATGATGTGGTTGTTACAACTTGGCTGTACAATGATGATGTAGCTATAGCCTCAAGCGTTAACCCCAAGTTGGTGTCTTGTTATGTTGGTTTGGTTGCTGACGAATAGTGGGGTGGTTGTGGCCACTTGTTAGTGTGGATTATCCTTTACACAAGTAATATCTACAAACCTACACAAAAGCGATACCTTTTAATAATACGAACCCTTACAGTTACACACAGAAGTGATACCTCCAAACATTTACAGAAGTGATACCTCCAAACATTTACAGAAGTGATACCTCCAAACCTTAACGGTAGTGATACCTTCAAACCTTAACGGAAGTGATACCTTGAAACCTTCACACAAGTGATACCTCCAAACATTCACGGAAGTGATACCTCCAAACATTCACACAAAAGATACCCCACGGAAGTGATACCTCCTAGCCACTGGAGAATCATCAAGACTAATTGGCCAAGAAGTTGGTTTGACACCCTACTCTATTCTTAATGGCCAATGTTAAAATTAGGCGTCGGGTTGCATTTTATTATAAAAACAACAACAACATGTTGAAAAGTATGAGCGATTGTGACACTAACTTATGTTATAATACAGTTTCCTAATACAGAAAAGATTAGAAAGTAATAATAGTGATATTAATCGAAACTACGGAGTTCCCCATTAAATGGAGTGCGTAGAAAATAAACAACCAACTCGTTTTTCCCCAGGAAATAAATTAAAAACTAAACTAACATGCTGCAATGACCGTACCCTCAGCACTAATCTGATGCATATATCAAGTGAGCACTTCAACTTATTCTCTCTACTGTAGCCGTCATCTTATTATTTCAACACGCATGCCCACAGAGAAAAAAATATGTATTTACATTATTGATGTAGACGTGGCCTTCGTTCCCCTACCTACCACCTCCCACCCCATCCCATCTATCAACCACATCCCCACCCCCCTCTTAACCTCAGCCTTCTTTATTCCAACTGTGGTGCTACTCTGATTATTGACACAACAGGTTAAATACTACACATCTACTCCAAGATATATTCAACATCTACTGTTATTCAACATTAATCCCAGCGTAGACGTTGAATATACTGTATTCAAAATCTACTCTAGGTTACTCTAGGATATATTCAAAATCAACATCTACTCTAGGTTACTCCTAGGATATATTCATCTACTCTAGGTTACTCTAGGATATATTCAACATCTACTCTAGGTTACTCTAGGATATTTTCAACATCTACTCTAGGTTACTCTAGGATATATTCAACATCTACTCTAGGTTACTCTAGGATATATTCAACATCTACTCTAGGTTACTCTAGGGTATATTCAACATCTACTCTAGGTTACTATAGGATATTTTCAACATCTACTCTAGGATATTCAACATATGTCCAAGTGCAGACGTTGAATATCCTCTATTCATCATCTACTCTAGGATATTCAACCAGCAGTTAACACACGTCCAACACACAACACACGAGCACACATCCTGGTTTCAATAACGCAATTAAAATCTTTTTTCCCCCTCGACATGCTGGATACAAAATGATGGGCATTGAGGAAATAAAAAGCAGAAACGTTTTTTCTAGGTACTGAAAATCTACAGATAGATTTGAAAAAAAAAACCTCATTAGGCCAAAGGCAATTTATCTGTCTACAATAAGACCCTCGGTCTACAGTAAACACCTCGGTCTTAAGTAAGCCCCTCGTTCTACAGTAAGCTCCTCATTCTACAGTAAGCCCCTCGTTCTACAGTAAGCCCTTCGTTCTAAAGTAAGCATCTCGTTCTACAGTAAGCCCCTCGTTCTACAGTAAGCCCCTCGTTCTACAGTAAGCCCCTCGTTCTACAGTAAGCCCCTCGTTCTACAGTAAGCCCCTCGTTCTACAGTAAGCCCCGCTTTCTACAGTAAACCTCTCGGTCTACATTAACCCCTCGTTCCACAGTAAGCCTCTCGTTCTACAGTAAGCCCCGCGTTCTACAGTAAACCTCTCGGTCTACATTAAGCCCCTCGTTGTACAGCAAGCCCCGCTTTCTACAGTAAGCCTCTCGGTCTACATTAAGTCCCTCGTAAGCCCCTCGTTCTACAGTAAGCCCCGCATTCTACAGTAAACCCATCGGTCTACATTAAGCCCCTCGTTCTACAGTAAGCCCTAAGTTCCACGTTCTAAAGTAAGCTCCACGTTCTACAGAAAGCCTCTCGTAAGCCCCGCGTTCTACAGTAAGCCTCTCGTTCTACAGTAAGCCCCTCGTTCTACAGTAAGCCCTAAGTTCCACGTTCTAAAGTAAGCTCCACGTTCTACAGAAAGCCTCTCGTAAGCCCCTCGTTCTACAGTAAGCCCCTCGTTCTACACTAAGCCCCAGACCCTCTCTACAAACCCCGCCATGTGATCTAAGAGAGCACCCAACAAGTGCCGGACAACAGTTGATCTAATCCCTGCCGTGTCTTACGTACACCATATTGATTTATCTTGTCTCATCATGCTTCGCGGAACCCCCCCACCCCCCCCCCCCATCCCACGCCCGGCTCCCCGGCCCCTCTCCCCAGCACACAAGCGACTCTCGCAAGAATTCAAAGAGAGCACATAGCTTCTCATTAAGATATTAATGCATCGACATTAACGCGCGGGGCGATGGTCCAATGTTGTATTATCGAATAAACTCCGTTGGAGATGCCTCCCTGCCCCGTATAACGCCAGTGTTGGTGTATTCTCCATATCTGACTATGGGACACCTCCGCTGTGCCTGCTGTGATGCATTGTGGCTACCTCGGTGAATAACTTAGGCAACACGGTTGATCCTGACGGTTGCCTTTCTGTGTAACTCCGACACTGGGGTTACCTCCCTGTGTAACTCCAACAATACAATTACCTCCCCGTATAGTACTTACATTGAAGTTACCTCCCTGTGTAACTCCGACAATGAGGTTGTCTCCCTGTGTAATTCCAACGCTGAGATTGCCTCCATGTGTAATCCTGACAATACGCACCCATCTTCCCCCCCCCCCCCCACCCGTTTAAACCTCAGCTTTGTGGCTGTCTCCCTGTATAAATTATCATCTCCAGGGGAAGCTCACGGTACAGAAATTTCCATATTCTCGGATAGGAAGATGCTCAAGATCGGAAGATGCACCAGATAGGAATATGAACCAGATAGGAAGATGTGCCACTTAGGAAGGTGCACCAGTTACTAAGGTGTACTAGGTAAGAAGCTACACTCGATAAAAAGATGCATCAGAGAGGAAGTTGAACAGAAGCAGGAGCAGCATACAAGCTTCGTGCCTTAAAAACAAAAAGAAAACCGACAAAAAAATTCTTCATTTAATGCTGAAAAAAATTACACCAGTTATTAACTACAAACTTAAATACAGATGTAGATAACCATGTATAATGTTGTGTAACCAGCATGATACAAAGTCGCAATATTCATCCCACATTTCCAGGTACTCGCTGCTGGGCTTAAGACGTTCAAAACTTTCCACTGAAAACCCTGGGTATGACACGTATTCGATCTCTGAACCCCTACGTTATTGATCACCGCTCGCGGAATGACCCTGTTGTGACTGTCAACTAAATAACATTCGATCAATAGGTCAGGCCGTAGTTTAATTAGTCCAGTATTATTAGCATTAAACACACAGCGTTTTGATTTGAGTAAAGATTAAGTTAGGCTAAGAAGAGGAAACACAGATTTATTTATTGCCTTCCTACACTTGTCTGTCGCCTCGCGCATGCGTACTTGTATTGGCGTGTCGGGATGCTGGATGCTGGCTAATAAGATTAAGATAGAGCCTACAATCTACATGATACAGTTACAATAATCACGTTACAATGTAATACAAAAAGTCGAATAAACTGTGAGAGCTGATTACTGAACAGAGATAGTTAAGATATTGCTGTTATTTCTCTACACATGGATATACATTTGGAAGATAACACAATTATAAATCATTTATGTATTGTGTGATGTATTGTGTGGAAACATTATTATAATATTAAGTAAGGGGAGAGGGGGGGGGGGCTTTTAGTGCCCCACCCCCCTCCCCTTTCCCAGAGAGATAGATGCATGGGATGCATGAAAAAGAGACTCCGGGTCAAAACCGAAATGACAGTGTCAGTTCAGTAAACATTTTTTTCTACCCTTACACTACAGGTTTCATTTTTACACACATGCAAATGATAAATACAGACTTAAAACTTCTAGAGATCTAGATCTGGGACCATTTATTGGTCAATTATAAACTTTATTAGACTATATCAACTCCTGTGATTTAAAAAAAAATCATCATATAACTTATAAATATAAGACCTAGTCTAGGCCATATAGATCTAATATCTATTTTATATTCGACTTTTGGCGAAATGAAAAACTTGAAAAGTAAAAAAAAAATCTTTTGTCATTTGTTATAAGTTATAATGAATAAACTAGCTTCTAGATAATCTATATTTTAAAAACAAATTTAAGTATGTATCTGTTGAATACAACAACCGCGAAAAAAATGTTGGTTTTTATATATATTTTAAATAGGCCTACTAGATCTATGTATTTTTCTTGCAGCGCAATTAGATTCTAATTATTGACCTCTGGCCTGTGTCTGTATTTACATCTCACTAGCATCACACACACACTCACACACAACAATGATCATCTTACCTTGACCGCCGGGAAAATTTTTCCGCACAACACACGCAGTAGACTGGCGATGTTTTCAAAATTATTTCCCTCTACAAATTGTACACACTGTGTGCATCGAATGAAAATTTAAAAAAAACTGGTACTGTGTTGAAATAATAAACAATCCCAACAACACTAAAACAGCTCAAAAATACAAGGCTACGCTCATTTATCTGTTGTTTTTTTTTTTTTAGCAGAGTGATAACAATCCTTGAGCGTGGTCCGCAGCTGTTCGCGCGATAGCAGACGACAGGTCTGAGGCGGCGATAGCAGTTTGTCCGGCAGCCTCGATTACACTGCCGCGCGGAAGTGGATTCGATTACTTGAAAGTTCGCTCTGGCCTGAGTTGTTTTTTTTTTTAATTAAATCTTAAGCGCACTGTAAGATGGTAGATCTAGACCTAATCAGTGTTTCTTTCAGGCATCTCTTTGGGGCGCCCCACCCGAAGGGCGTCTACCTCTTCCCCCCTCGAACGGAATATAATTTATATAGAAAATATACATTTATTCAGAGTTTCTTCACGGCTCTGCCCCCCCCCCGAACAAAATGGAATATTTATAGAAAATATATACTTTTAACAGTGTCCGCCCCCGCCCCCGGAAATTTTAATCCCCCCCTCCCTCCACGGAGAAAAAAATCTGGAAGAAACACTGCTTTTATCAGTGTATGCCCCCCCCCCCCTCCCCCCGAAAGTCAAGCCCCCCCCCCCCCCCCCCCCCCGGCCCGAGAAAATATCTGAAAGAAACACTGGATCTAATCTACATCTCTAGATGCATATACACGTTCGACACACTTTTTTAGAATAATGAATACAATATAAGACGATTTTTTTTTGCCTCTACTAAATTCGATATCAAATCAAAAGTATTGAGCAGGGGTTGTCCATAAATTACAACGAACGCATACACATGAGGTTTAAGAAATATTACGTGGGCCTGCATTTATGTTGTATTTGTTAACATTATAATGTAAACATGTTAACAAGTATGTTGGCAGGGTAGTGAAAGGCAGGATTTTGTAGAGATGCCATATGGTCGCGCTAACCCGAAAGTATAGAGTTCGAATCCTGGGTTCTATTCCGAAAAAAACCCTCTCTGAGTCCACCAAGCTCTGATGAGTACGTTAGGAAAAGTGAAGGCGGCTGAATATAGTGCTGATTACGCTATCCAGTGGCGTCGCTAGGTCGGGTGTCACCCAGTGTGTCACCCCCCACCCTCTTGTATTAGTTGTCGATTTGTACGTAAAAGACTATTAAACTTTAATTAATCGTTAATGGAACTGGCAAAAAAAACATTTTTTAGTACATTTTGACGGTAGGCTTTTTTTTTGGGGGGGGGGGGGGGGGGGGGAGAGGTCGAAGAGATGCTTGAAGAAACTATGGTCAGCACCCCCCCCCCCCCCAACCCGCCCTTGCTACGCCTTTGACCCTATCCATTAAAATACCCAGGTCACTGAAACAGGCGAACTTTACTTCACCTGCCTCATGAGCCGTCAGGTCTGAAGGGGTACTTTACTTTTTTTTTTTACTTTTGATGGTTGGGGGGTGGTGGGGGAAAAGGGATTTGGTTTAAATCGGTCTAACTTAAATATCGTCATTTATGGACGACCTATCTATACATTTTGTTTTTATTTCAACAGAAAACTAATATAAAAACTCCCACTTTTTTTGTAGTTGTGAAATCAATACAAGACATTGGCAATAACCATTCTACCGTTACTATGTAAGTTGCATACAATGGCGGATGAATACAAACGTACACATGTACGTTGCATAAAATGGCGGATGAATATAAACGTACACGTGTACGTTGCATTAAATGGCGGATGAATATAAACGTACACATCACCCAGTTTAATTCACTTTTGTCAACAAACTATTCGGCCAATACAACACATTCAAATATTGTCCTGGTTGGTCGTGGTGTGTTTTGGCTGTACTATTAGAAAACAGTCCATTTGTTATGATGTTTTGGGTGGCAGTGATGTTTTGCTTTGTAAAAAAAAAAAAAAACAACAGCTGATGGAAAGGTGTAGTATTAGACGTGTATTAGGCGAATCCCTTTCAACATTGTACGTTAAGAACGAAGAAGAATACGATATGTATCATGTTGGCAATTTCATTGGTGGGATATCATGGCTGTGTTTTTTTTTCCCACCCAAATATCAGGAAACTTTAGAAAATATGTATGGTACACAAAGCGTCATAACACCGTTGTTTTTATGATGTGTTTGTGATGTCATGTACTAATGTTGTATGTACAACTCAAGTATTCGCTGATGACAGGTAACATTTCATCAGCCACTTACTTGTGAACAATGTTTGGAAATTTCTGTTTTCAATAAAAAAATCTACTTCAGTTCCCTAATCACCAGCCTCCCCCCCCCCCCACCCTCCACCTTACCATCAAGTTACAAGTACGACTAGGGTCAACAACTGTAGGACCGCTGTGTACGCACAACGTAATCGTGTGAGAATCGCTACGGTCCTCACAAATGGAATCGTAACTCTAATAACACGTGGGTGAATCATCCTCGATTGCACAGGCCCGGTGGGGGAGGGGGAGAGTGGGGGATACGGAGTTATTGGTCAGCCGGGGCATTTATTGGAAAATATTTGTAGAACTGGCGTTGTAGTCTGCGTAGAGCACGTGGTCGTTTAAAGATGGCGGCGTTTCGCAAAGGGGTGGGGGTGAGCTGGGGGGGGGGGGGGGGGGGAGGATACACATTCAGTTATTTATTTGATTTTTTTGTCACGTGGTCGGAATTGATGAAGCTAGCAGGGTAATGTGTGTTCAAATGTGTGTGTTGGGGGGGGGGGGGGAGGGAGAATCGTGTTACATCTTAATGTCCATGTTGATTTTTTAGTGTTTATTTTCATTAAGCCTGAATTATAACCTGCAGTTTCGCTTTCGTAAGACAATCATTGATTGGCTGTACAGAAACTCCGTGATCTATTTTCTGCTGTAAAGTACTGTAAACCCCACTTTGTAGTAATTTGTGCTCAAAACTTTGCCGATAAAATATTGTATTAAAATTATACTTTTCAAAAACTGCATGTCCTATTTATGCCATGTTGATTTACATTTTTGGTAACAAAAATGAAAACAACCAAAGTGGGTTTTTTTAAAGCCCTACTTAAACAGATCACCAACTGTGGTAGATTTATGTGGTCTTAGTGTTTAGATCTACCCAAAGATAAATCCAGATCTTCATGCCTTGGTTTTAAGATCTACCTAAACTTAGTTCTCAGACATATTTAGTGTCTTGGTGTTTAGACCTACCTAGAGATAACTCCCAAACAGATTTTGTGTCTTGGTGTTTAGAAGTACCCAACAAAAGCTCACAGACAGAATGTGTGTACCTAAACCTAAAGATAACATGGTCTGAGATAACTCACTAGTTCCATGAATGCATGCACGTAGTCTCCGGGTGGGTGGGGTGTGGGGAGGAGAGGAGCTTACAATGACAGATTGGTATGCAGATGTACTGACCGCTGCCTGACCCCCCCCCCCCCTCTCCTCCCTCCTGCTGGTCAGAAGGTCAGCATCTAGCATCCACCCACGCCCAAACCAATTTACAAGGGACAGCAAACAGACCTATTGTGTTACCTGCATGAAATTACTTTGCTCGTTCGTCTAGTGGTTGTGGTATCAAGTGAGCTTGGTCCAACTATGGCCTGGTAATAGTCGAGTCCTCTTGTTTGCTCATTCGTCTAGTTGTGTGTGGATCAAGTGAGCTTGGTCCAACTATGGCCTGGTAATGGTCGAGTCTTCTTGTTTGCTCATTCGTCTAGTTGTGTGGGGATCATGTGAGCTTGGTCCAACTATGGCCTGGTAATGGTCGAGTCTTCTTGTTTGCTCATTCGTCTAGTTGTGTGGGGATCATGTGAGCTTGGTCCAACTATGGCCTGGTAATGGTCGAGTCTTCTTGTTTGCTCATTCGTCTAGTTGTGTGGGGATCATGTGAGCTTGGTCCAACTATGGCCTGGTAATGGTCGAGTCTTCTTGTTTGCTCATTCGTCTAGTTGTGTGGGGATCATGTGAGCTTGGTCCAACTATGGCCTGGTAATGGTCGAGTCTTCTTGTTTGCTCATTCGTCTAGTTGTGTGGGGATCATGTGAGCTTGGTCCAACTATGGCCTGGTAATGGTCGAGTCTTCTTGTTTGCTCATTCGTCTAGTTGTGTGGGGATCATGTGAGCTTGGTCCAACTATGGCCTGGTAATGGTCGAGTCTTCTTGTTTGCTCATTCGTCTAGTTGTGTGGGGATCATGTGAGCTTGGTCCAACTATGGCCTGGTAATAGTCGAGTCTTACAGTAAGTTAAAAATGGCAGCTGCAGTGAGGTTTATGCCAATAGTAATAAAACAGCTGGTGTTAGTAACCTCGCTAACAAAGTTTCTTCCAGGCATCTTTTCGGAGGGGGGGGGGGGGGCGAACAAAATGGAAATTATATAGAAAATATTTACTTTTAGGAGTCCCACCCCCCGGACATTTTAGTCCGTCCCGTCCCCCGAAATTTTCAAGGGCCCGATCCCTCCCAACACTAAAAATTAAGAACGAAGAAGAAGAAGACAGGTACGTAGACGTTTCGATCCAAGGTCTTATGGTAAAGTATACATTGTTCGAGTTTGGTAGAAGATTCGTGGAATGGTAAAATATGAATTAGTCAAATATGGTAGAAGTTTAGAAGTTTCGTGGAATGTTAAAATATGAATTAGTCAAATATGGTAGAAGTTTCGTGGAATGTTAAAATAGGAATAGGTCGAGACTGGTAGAAGATTCGTAGAAGTATTTTATGATCATAAACCCAGACACATGACAAACTAATGAAAACCGTATTTTATTTCACAGCACGCGAACCAACTTAAAAAAACAAAACAAAACAACTCAATCTTTAAGTAAAAAATGGGGCCAGCCAAGTTTAACGTGTTAGGTTCGATCATTATTGTTGACATGGAAAAAACGGGTTTTTTTAAAAAAGGTAAAGGTATATATTTTCTATATAAATTTTATTTCGTTCGGGGAGGAGGGAGTAGCAGAGGCGTAGCGACCCTTCCCGGCGCCCGGGGTACAAACTTTTCGATTTGCACCCCCCTCGAGATTTCGATTTGCACCCCCCCTCAAACTTTCGATTTGCACTCACCTCAACCTTTCAATTTATTTTTTCCAACCCATTTTGGCGCCCCCTAAGGTCGGCGCCCGGGGACATATGTCCCCCCCCCCCCCCTCGCTACGCTACTGGGGAGTAGACGTGTGACGTGTTTCGCGTGGGGTTGGGGGGGGGGGGAATGGCCTGAAAGAAACATTACTTGAAACACGAACGAACACAAGCACTACCGAACACTAACTTTGTTTCTGTATGTTTATCAAATGTGCACAATAATCGAGCGTGGTTTTTTCAAGTTGCGCATTTTGTGACGTGTGTTTGTGCGGATATTTTTAAGTAGGCCACTTTATTTTCTCCGTAGATTTCTCTTAACCGTTGATTAAACAATTTTTTAAAATGATTAAACAACCAACGTAAAAAAAGTCGGTTAAACACGGATGGACATAGGAGGAAGAGCTAGTGATGGGCGTTCTAACGCGGTGCGTCAAGGCATGTCGCCAATGCAATAATTTTAAGTATCTCATTTTATAATTTACCAACATTTAAACCACTTCCGGGTTAAGATACGATATTCATCTAGAGTAGGAACCCTTGTATCAACGTAATTAGTGTTGAAGAATCTGAAGTGTTCGGACTTAAAGAGTATGTGTGTGTGTGTGTTGTAACAGTAAACGCAGCTATGTAACAAAGGTGGTGTTTGTGTGTGTGTGTGGAGGGGGGGGGAGGGGTTGCAGAAAACACTATGTGACAAAAATTTAGGAGGTGGGGGGGGGGGGGTGAGAACCAAGGAGTCGAACTCGGGACTTTTTCGGTAGGCGACCATGAGCTTTACCGACCCCACCACGCCGACCCCTATCTGTGCTAAACGCAACATAATCATTCTCAGCCAAATATAAATTCATTTGGAAATCACTTTATGACGCATTAATTATTACTTTTATCCAGCCAAGTTAACGCCTGTGCTTTTTTCTACGGAAGGGCACATAAAACTTGGAGGGCGGGGGGGTAGGGGTGGGGGTGGGGATTTGGGAGGAAGCGCACTTAAATTTCCGGGGGAGGGGCGGGATACTGTTTAAAGTATACATTTTCTATATGGTGCGTTTGAAGTCCTTCGTATGTTCGTATGCGGGGAAGGGGGAGGGGGGGGGGGTAGTAGTGCACCTGTAGAGTTGTCTGAGATGAACTCTGGCCACCAACACCACCACGATAACGCTACGTTAGCAAGAGGAAATGTTATCATTCTCTGGCATAATGGCATTGGCCACATTCACAAGACGTTGCCCCCTATCGACGTCCGCACGAGCTTGCTGCTCAATACCAGACTTGCGCTCTCAAAAAGTCAATGACAACTTGCCTAGCTTTACACACTAATGCATGTCAGACTGTCGCCTGCTGCTTGATACCAAATCAACGGTAGGCGAACGGTTTCCAATTTGCAGGCATTGTTTCTTCCAGATTTTTTCTCGGGGTGGGGGCAGATATTTTCCGGGGGGGGGGGGGTGATGTGGGCGTGGGGCAGACACTGGTAAAAGTATGTTTTCTATGATAATTCTGTACATTCCATTTCGTTTTGGGGGGGGGGGGGGGACTGTAGACTTTCTACGGGGGGGGGGGGGGGGATGCCTGGAAGAAACTCTGTTAGCAGGATAGTTAAATGGAGCAATTGCCATTCTCAGCCTGGTTGTAAAATTGTATAATTAATATATCAAAATTTACTCAACAGAATAAACAAATCAACACTTCATTGTAAAAAAAGATCTGTCTATACTTCTCCCCCCCCCAGAAGCGTAGCGACCCTTCCCGGCACCCGGGGACAAACTTTCAATTTGGCGCCCCCCTCGGGAGCAACCTTTTAATTTTCAATTTGCACCCCCCCCCCACCCCCCCCCCCCCCCCCCCCCTTCAAACTTTCAATTTTCACCCACCATATATTTTTTTTTATATTTATAATGTAAAAATGCAGCTAAAATGAGAATTTAATTTGTTTTTCTAACCCATTTTGGCGCCCCCCTAAGGTCGGCGACCGGGGTCATATGTACGCCTCTGCCCCCCCCCCCCCCCCCTTCCTTTCTATTCACCCACTCTCCAAGTAAGTGACCAGGAACAAACACATTCACAAGCTGCTAAGGGAAATAATAATTAAAATTATTATGTATTTGTTCATATAACATGGCTACTTACTTACCCTGTTTAGAGACCAAGTAGCATTATTTTAAAGAAAGCCATCTGGTTTTAAAACTCAGCTGAATGTTAATTTGTTTGGTGGATATATTGTTTAATTACAAACTATTTCAGTGAAAGCGACATAGTTTGTAATGCTTATTAATCTAAATTTAGTATGGAAGTTTACCATTTAGCATTTTCGACTGAGAGAGAGCCTAAACGACATACTTCAAGTACTCAACACATTTAAGTACTTCCGGTTTATCTTAGATGATAGAAAGCGAAAACAAACGTCGCTGGTTCAGGCTAGATCTTAATAACTAATTATTTATATGCCATATTGTTTGTAAGTTTGATAAATTTAGACAACTAGAGTATCAAAACAGATCTAGAATATAGAAGTCTAGATAGACAGTTTGTTGTCATTTTTAATACAAAGTCATTTATTTTTTTGGGAAGTTAAGCTAGCAGTTGAGTACGTAGTACGTACTGCTGTCTGTAGTCTGCACTGTAGGGTAAGACTGGAAGAAAAACTTAAAAAGAAAATCAGATCTAGAAAAATCTAGATTAAAAGATTGCAAGATCTAGAAATCTAGATTACCCAGTGACTTATCTAAAATATAGATTTCTAGATTTAGAATCTAGATTTCTAAATAAAAATGAATTCAATATTTCCGAATTTCGAGTTGTCCTGTCCAGCTCTGATATTATTGGGGAAAGTAAAAGCAGCAGGACATAGATATAGATCTAGTGCTGAATATGCCATCGCTTCTTATGCCGAGGTCAAGAAACATTAACATTATCTGTTCAGTGGATCGCTAGGTCTAAACTAAAGAGGAACGTTACTACCTACTTTACTTACTTTTACGCAAACATTTTAACAGTGTAACAATACAATCTTCAAAACTGTAATTTAGTGTTATATTCCCACTGCAAGTTTTAATAATGGAATTTATTGAAACATCTTCAGGATAATCGCTTGGGAGTTCACAATTAGTGCAAAGGTTAAGATAAGATAGCATTACTCGCAAAAACTATAAAAATAGCTTTGTTGATACATTTTTATTATACTGGTGTTTTTATGAATACCAACAGTTTTTTTATCAACTATACCCACATAATTATATAGCAGAAACTGCTAATCACAAATTAATTTAAATTGTAAACTTACACTGCTTAGGAGAGTCTTAGACTTAGAGTTTTATGCTTAGGGTTATGTTCAGTCCGAGGCTTAGGGTAGGGTTAAGTTTGAAGTAGCTAGGTTGGATAAGGTTTAAAGTAACTAAACTGAACGCTTACTACATCTTTACTTATTCAACAATTAATCTTGACCTGTGCTCATTTACTAAACCGTTATGTTAAATTCCAGTGTTTGTATATGTATGTATATATATAGGTTTTGCTAAATTGATTTTATTGATATATGTCTACTTTAGTTTATTTAGTTAAAAGTTACAATCTTTCTTACTTTTAATAGTTCAGCATTTTTTTAGTTACTAAAGTTTTAACATGCATAAACTTTATAAATCAATAAGTTCATTAAATTTTTTACAGATCAAGGTCAGCATGGAGTTTCTATCTACGAACAGCTATTTTAACTGCATATCTCCAGATATATAATACAAAAGATGTATTTTCTGTAATGACAAGTAAATAAATTAGTGCTTGATATTTAATAGAACTGACTTGGGACAGTTTTTCAATGCACAGTTATGTGAAAGTTGTCACAAACTGTGGTATTTGTGCTAGACAATGGAAAATAGATCAAAATCATATTACATTTCATAGGAAAGAATTCTTTCCAAAATGGAGGAGTACAGTAACCTAAAACCACAGTTCAAGAATGAATCTCTTGCCATGACATCACTTCCTGTTTTCCCACCTCGCTCCCTGCCTGGTACTTTCCAAAATCCAGGAATGGCTTCCCACTATGGGTTCAATATGGATATGCTTGGTCACACGGCTAGTATTTACAACCACCCTCCACCCACTCACCACCCTGCAGCAAACAAAATGACCTCCCACCCACAAGAGGCAGACCAGCGTCACATCAACCACAGCTTTGGCCCTAAAGTTGTCGCTCCTCCAATGTCCTATCACAACTTTGCCCCACTTACCAGCTGCAACATTATAACAACCAATGGGTTTTATAACAACAACACATCAGCTGAACTGCCCAAACATCCCTTTGATGAGGTTTTGAACTCCCCAGCCAACTTCAATGACCCATCTCTCAATCCTCAAATGATGTCCAAAGTCCAGTATCACCAGCCTCCAGGTTCCATCATGGCAGAACTAAATCATTACTCTCATGAGCCAGTCAACTCTTACATTCAGACCCTGAATAGTACATTACAAAATGAAAACAGCATGACAGAACAGAAGAAAAGGCCAAGGTCCCAAAAAGTTCTATCTAAACCACTGGCGCCTGACTTGCAGATGAATGTTGATATGAACCAAATTAACCATTGTAATGTTTTGAATGGGGGTAATAATATCAGTACAAATAACACAAATAATAATAATAATGTAGTGAATAATGTAGTCAGTGAATTTAAAGAATCTCAAGATATCTCAGGAGTGTGTAACAGTAAAACTGCCTTCAAATGTGGATTTTGTGACTTAAAATTTTACAGCAATGATCTACTACTGGGACACCTGATTTCTCACACAAATTGCTTGCCATATAGGTGCGGTGTATGTAATACGGGCTTCATTGAAGGAAGCTACTTGTTAAGACATGTACAGCTGGCTCACAATTTAAAGCACCCCTATGAGTGTGGACTCTGTACCTTGACATTTCCGCAAAATGACCTATTTTTAGAACATGTAAAATCTCATGAGAGTCAACAGAATATGGATGTTGGTGGCAGCAGAAATAAATTACCTCCCTTTGTTAAAGAAGTGCAAGAAAAGCCTGATAAGAATACAAAAGAAGAGGAAACTGAGGTAGAGGATGATGACGACGAGGAAGAGAACAGTGGAGATAATTCGTGTAATGGATGTAAGAGCTCTTCCAACAGTACTGTTCTAATTGGCATGGAAACTAATTTGAGCTTAAGGAAGGGGCCATCGAAAATTGTGATGGATGATGTGGACTTGAATGAGGTTTGTACCATCATCGTAGAGCCATCCAGTGCAGGTGGCATTAGGAAGAAACATCTGTTCAAATGTAACTTTTGTGCTAAGATCTGCAAAGATAAAGGTTCTTTAGTAAGTCACGTGAGAACACACACCAAAGGTAGGCCTTATGAATGTAACATGTGCTATGCCAAATTCAAACAGTATGCACATTTGAGTGACCACATTATGACAAAACACACAAAAGAACGACCTTTTGTTTGTGATCGCTGTGCCAAAACTTTCAACCGGAAGTCTCACCTCCAGGACCACATAAGACTGCGCCACACTGAAGACAAGCTGTACCATTGCCCTGAGTGTTCACTGACCTTCCAGAAGAGAGCAGAGTTCTCAGACCACAAGCGCACACACGGGAAACCACCCAAGTACCAGTGCAACATGTGCTCTAGACAGTTCAGAAATGTGACAGATTACGAGCGCCACATTCGTAGTCACACAAAGGAGAAGAGGTTTGAGTGTGAGGTTTGTCATCTAACCTTTGGACTTTTGGCTAACGCTAAGAAGCACATGATCAAACACAGTGAAGAGAGACCATTCAAGTGTGATGTTTGTCCGAAGGCGTATCATTTTGAGCATGATTACAAACGCCACAAGCTAACTCATCTAAATAAAAAACCATTCCCCTGTTCTGAGTGCTACAAGTCATTTAAAACTGCTGTTCTTTTAAAAAAACATGCCAAAGAAACACACATGCAGTCTGAAGATGATCCAGAGACAAAACCATTCAAGTGCCAGACATGTAGAAAACGGTTTAAAATACAATGGGATCTTGATAGACATAGAAAAATTCATGCAAGGAAAAAGGCTTTTCTTTGTTTATATTGTTATAAGAGTTATGGTAGTGAGCAAATGCTTGCTAAGCATGCGAAAATACATGAAGGCCAAAACTTGCCACTTTATGATCATTCCCAAGACATTATAGATGAATCTGAAACTGAGGAAAAGCCCAAAAAAAGAGGGCGAAAGTCAAAGAGATTTAACAATTCTGAGTCAACCGAAATTGAAGAATCAGAGAAAGAAGAGAAGCCAGTTAAAAGGTGTCGTTCTTCCAGAAAGGGTGTGAAGTCTACAAGCTACAGTGTTTCAGTGTCAAAAATCAGACGTAGAGGAAGACCAGCTAAGCCGAAACCAGACTCTGGTTCAGAAGAAGAAAGGACTCCGCCCCGCATCAAAATTACTTTCAGACAAAAAAAATTTCACCCCAGTAAATTTACTTGTGAAAACTGCAACAAAGTTTTTTTAAGCAAAGCCCTGCTTCAGAGGCATTCCCTCACTCACATGGAGGAAGACACAGAAGTGGAGGAGCAATCGTCAGCCAATGAGGATAGTAAGCCTTCAGCTGGGGTAGTTGAGAGTTCTTTAGAAAACACAGTGGACAATAACGATAAAAGTGAAACCACATCAGATCAAATCACTGAGAATACTGACAGTGTAAAATCGATAAAAATAGATGGGTTTTCAGCTCATTTTAATCAAATCAGTCAGATGACATCTGGGGTGTGAGTAAAAATGATAGATTTCTATCTTTGAAAAAATATAAATCTCATTTCATTGTAATCTCTTGTTTTTATTGGTGGTGGGGAATTTTCTGTTCTACCTTCATTGTTTGACAGATTTGAGATATTTGTTTTTGACAAATTTAACATTCCGTGATAATAGACACCTATTAAAAAATATATTTAGAAGATGCAATTCATTATATATCACCTCATAGCAATAAAGCATTTTGTTATATTATTGTACATAAAATTCCATTTTTTTTTACTTAGCTTTAATTTACTTGTTTATGTAAAACAACATAACTAAAATTATTACTAAAAATGTGTAACCCTCAAGCTACTGCAGTAATTCAGCTTACAATTACCTGCATAGTTCATTCTCAAAGGCCAGGAGCTGTTCCAAGGACCATCATGAGTCCCATCCGCCCAATTTTTAGCTGGCTATATCAGCTGAAGATTCAGGTTTCTGATAAACTCTCCACCATGGCCTAATATCAGTTCCTAAAACCTTTTTATTAAGTAACTGGTCAGTTAAAATAACTGAATTATTGAGCATGTTTGAATTTATGTAAAGAAATTTTTTAAATTTTACTTTAAAATTGACCAGTATTTAAAACCTGCAAACTAAAATGTATTGCTGTGTTATATTAGTATAAAGATTTAATTAATAGGTTTATGTTTTTAAAAAAAAAAAAAGATTTTTAAAAATATGATGACCTATTAGCAATAAATAACAGATACATCAATTTTGTAACTAAGTTTAAAAACAACTCAGGTAAATGTGCAATAAACCCCCCCTTTAGGTTTTTTTGAAGTATGGCTTGAGAGTCTACATTTTTAACAATTTTTTTAACATTAAAAAGTTAATTTTTGCTATTATGATATGTATATTATATATACTGTTTAAAAAACCTTATACTTATAGGTTTACTAAAAATGATCTTTTAAAAATTGATTTAGAATCTATTACTTTTATGCAGGGTACACTTAATTTCCCTATACTCTATTAACACTTTCCCTACAAGTTGTGTATCTAGCTTAACATTTTTGCTGTAGAAATGTATTTACATGTAACAGAAATGTTTTTTTTTTTTGTAATTATTTTTGTTTGGATTTAATGGGGATTTTTAGATCATATTATTTACATTACTTTGAAGAAGATATATACACAAAAAGGGTTGACTTGTCTATTCTTCAGATAAAAAAAAAACTTTTTAAAAAGTAAGAATGTAATGACCCAGGGTATTTTCATTCTAGTCACAGTAGATTTTAACAGCTGTCACATAATGATTGTATACAATTTTGTTCATGGCCTCGCTAAAATTAAAAATAGTTGATAATAAAATTAAATTATTTTTGATTTTCTATAATTTACTTAAGTTTACACATACAATGGCATAATACATAAGCAGCTAAAGCTGTTAAAATGTGTTAAATGTTTCATATGCATTTACCATTATATTAAATATGCAATTATCAGTATCTAAATCTGTTCATTGACTCAATTAATCCCAGGCCACAGTTGTTGAAATTGTTTCATAAAATTATTGTTTGACAAAATTTATCATTGTATACAATATTAGTTTTTACATATTGTTTTTAAAGTTCCGACCTATGCTTCCATTTTGTTAATGATATATTAATGTTTTTACGTGTTGACACTGATCTGATTCATTCTTGTTTATGATTTTTACACAACAATATTAAAATACCTAATTAACCTAGTAATGAATTCTGCTTCTTTATTTAGGCTGAGTTTGATATTTTGTAACTTTAAAATCATCTTCTTTAATATAGCTTAAGAACAGAGTTAAAGATTAAATGAACAACCTGAGTGTTGGGAAACAAATGGACTCAAGTATAGAGAGAAATAAATGAATTCAATCATCATAATTTATTTTTTTAGACATGATAGACATTTATGTACATCATAACCAGAATAAATACAAACATATACAGGCTATGTACAAATGAAAATTTACAATTGTTCTGTTATTCACAGGGAAAAAGATTTTTGTTTTACATCATAGGGCAATTGAAAAGAATTAATATCCAAGTTAATTTAATTAATTTTGTGTGTTTAAACAAAAATCATTTAAATCATAATAAAATGTAGTGTGATAGCCGTGGTCAGCAAATGGGAAAACAAGACCAACAGACAAGTTACACTAGCTCCTAATGTCATGTATGCATCTAGCACACGAAGCAGCAACAAATACAGCACAATTTGAATGCAACTCTTTAATACTCCAGGACAGGTAATTTAAGATGTAATATAACATGACTCCTGATGCAGCAGTCACTCAAAGGGTTTAGCATTTGTACAACTAAAGCCAAGAAAAACAGCAAGTGCTAGTTAGCTCATAACCAACGTCACCCAGATTTTATTATCCATAAATAAACAGAATTTTATTTGAAAATTGCCATTTATCACCATAGTAGTAGGAAAATTATATAAGTATCTTTAGATTTCTGGGATTACACAAAAAAAAAGATTCCTAGATGGTTGGTCCCTCTACAAAAAAAGCACAAAATAAAGGGTAACTGATGATCAGAAAAAGACTATCTAAAAATAATTCAATGGAACATATAAACCCAAAACCCCACAATAACAGTTTTTAAAAGAATGATAAAACTAGATTCACCTAAAGAATAATTAGGATACAGACAGGTCTACAGACACAAATGACAAAATATTTACATCACTTTTAGGTGGACCAAACTTAAATCATGTGCAGCTAGATGAAAAAAAAAAGAAAGATTGTCAAACATAAGTGCATCGAACCAATAAAAATTTTGTGGGGGGAAATAAATGACTCTTCCTCTCAATGGCCACTACCTGAGTGGAATTCAAATGACATTTTGCTGTACCATGGGTAATATTTCTTGTGTAACTTAGCACATCAGAATAATCCACAGGCAGCAATAAGGCTTGTTTCCCAATAAAATGAAGAAAAAGAAATTTTTTTTTACACTAATAGCTCTTTGGAAAGGTATAGCCACAAAGACCTTTTCAGTAAAACTACTAGGCCATAAAAACTATAAATATAATGAAGAAAACCATTAGAACTCCAAAAATCTTGATCATCAGCCAACGGTTAGAAGTCACAGATTGAAAATATTTTAGGATCTCTGAGTGAGCAGCCTCAATATTTGTACTTGCTTCATCAATATTCTGGTCAATCCTGAATGTAAAAATGTATACTTAAAAACCATTCTGAGCAGCTAATAACATTCAAGATTTCATGACATTATATCTAATGGAGAATAATTTAAAGCAGCAAATCAAGATATAAAGTTATGCAGATGAAAATTTATTGAAGAATATAATGCAAGATTTAGTCTGATTAGAAATAAATAGCTAAGAAGATGGTAAGTATGTTTGAAAAAAAAACAACAACCATTTACACTTTATGAAGATTGTGTACAAATATTATTGTGTAGGCCTACTTTTCAATGCCTCTAACATGAACTAACCTGCCAACTATCTCTTCCTGTTCTTTTACCATATGAGCAAGCTGCTGAAAAATGCTCCCCAGTTCAACAATTGTAGTTTCTATGTTCTGCATGGTCTCAGCTCTGCTCTGGATGTATGCATCCTGCTCATCAATGATCTGCATTTGATTCTGGAGTTGTTTTCCTGATCCAGCTCCAGTCATATCTATAGAGACATCACCACTACCTGCATGGCTAGCATCATCTTGAAGCAAAACAGATCCATCTGAAAGTAAACAAAATTGTTATACATTTTCTAAAATAAAAACCAAACATATGTTTATAATTTACTCTAAGAAAAAATTTGGTCTTCAATCTATTTTCATAAAGCGATAGCAAAATTATTTTTAAAAATATGCAATTTGATTCCATAAAGGACAAACTTCAACCTAAAGTTAGCATTAGAACATTTTCCACATACTAATATGTCCCTGAAAAGCAGAAGGTGGCAATGACGAGGTGACTGGACTGGAGGAAAATTGCTCTCGTCTTGATTTTTGATGCTTCAAGTTCTAAAAAACAGTGTACAAAATTGAGTAATCATTGGTAATGTTAACAGAATATTGGTTATAATTAAATAAGAGTTAACAAAAAATTAACTCTTACCTCTGTCCTGACTTCCAGAACCTGCCTAAAATCATTTGACATTGATGCCAGTTTCGACTGCAATTAAAAAATGTGTTTTAAATTATTAATTAAAAATTAATATTATACTTAATAACAATTCTAACTAAGGTAAATGTAGAAATCCAAATGTTATAGGTAGCCATAAAAAAAGTGTTCAGCTATTTTACCTGCAAAGCAACAACAACTGTGTTGGAATGTGTCTGTAAATGCTTTCCATTCTGTGATTTCTGAGATTTTGCCAGCTGCAGTAAAAATGAAAAGAATATAATCTGAAGCTGATAATTTGCAATGGCAAAACATGGCAAAATCATAAGCCTCTAATTTTAATTCCACTTATATCCTGAATATAACAGTTCATCCTTGATTTAAATTTAAGTTATTATAACTTCTAAGGGAACTTGATAACTTAATTACTTTTTTAAAACAAACTTTACTTAAACTTAAACCTAAAAAAATGTTACTGTAGTTCATAGATTTACTATATTATTAAATGTATCTAATTATTAAAAAAACAAGGACTCAACATACCTGTTGGAGTTGGGCTATCTGATCATTGAGACTATTAATATCTTGTTTAATGATGTAAGTCAACTCTTGAATCTCCAGCGGTTTATCATCAAAGATTGCTTTCCTTTTTGCCACTAGAAAAATAATGTAAAATATAATAAGATGACATTGTCTTCACTTTATCAATTTAGAACTCAATAAATAGCATTATTTTAGTGTTTACTGAATTGTTAAAAAAAAAAAAAAATGACAATCTAGTTATCTGGTAATAAATACTTACAAATTGTGAGCTTCTCCAGCTTTGCAAAAGTATTAGCGAGGTCTTTACCTATGCGCCTAAATTGAAAAAAAAAGACACTGGAGGATAAGTTCGGATAACATAAAAAACTTAAACGTTAAAATTAGAATACTGTTAAAAAATAGCCAAATAAAAATTGTTTTTATAACCAAAACCTGAATTTAAATACAACTAGGATAGTAGAATAATGAAGCTATGGGAATACAAAACATTTTTTTGCAAGAAAACTGGCAAGATCTAAAGAAATTTAAACAGAGATGCGATTAGCTGTTCATTTAAGGGTAGTATTCATCTTTAGTGTAATCTATGTAACTTCAGGAACATAGTATAAATATTTTTAGGAACAACAACACAAATGTAGAGACACTATTACTTACTTTGCTATCTGTGTAAATTCACTCCGTACATGTAAGGCTTTATTCCTATGATTTTGGACCACCCCATTGCCCTAAATGACAGATAAAACAAACCAATTGTCATATAGATTAAAAGAATTACAATATGTATATTGATAAATTGTAAAATCTATCTTTCAATCTATGTTGAAGTTTAATGAAGGGTACCCTATCATTTTAAAGCTAAAATTAAATTATTTTCTAATTTAATTTATTTCATAGCAATGGAAACTAGGGAACAATCCCAAGCAACTGTTGGTTCAGAGTTCATTGACACTTTTAAGGAAGAAAACAGGCTATTATATACTGCATTACTAGAATTACCTGTCGAGACTGAAGAGATTTTACAACAGAAATGAATTCAGTAGATCTATCACGACAAGTCATTTCTGGGTCTATAAAATGTTGCTGTGGAGGAGACTGTGATGGTGGTGGTGACTGCTGTCTTGGACTACTGTGGCTTTGCTGATAAGGATAACTTGAGGATACTGCTTGTTGCTGCTGCTGACTATCAGAGCCCGAGTTGGTTCTTCTCCTGCGGGCTAGCATTGATCTGGTCGTGACCTGGGCATCACCCAGATTATGTCTAGTAAAAGTAGATCTAGTTAAAAGATGCTACTAGACATGACTAACCTAGATTTAAATCTAAATGGCCAGAGTAGATAAATTTTAAAAATAATAAAAACAGCCTAGGTTGTTGGTATAGACTTAGTAAATAATAATATAAAATGGTGAGATTCAGAGTTTTTGATGATTTGTAACTTATAGTGACTAGCGACTAGAAAAATCTGTATTTACTAAATAGCCTACTATTTTACCATCAGTCTTCATAACAAAGTAGGCCTAAAAATAAGATATAGGCCCACAGGAAATTATAGGCCTACATAATTATTGCTAATGAAAATAAAGGTAGATAGTTTATTCATTTAGTTTATTTTTGTTAAGGCATGACACACAACACTAAGTGTGCGTGGTATGTGGCCTGACCTATTTAAAATTTAAATGAGATTAAGTTTAGCCGGGCCTATTATTTAAATTATTATTTTTATATTAGTAGTGCCTATTGGTTTGAGTTTACAATTAACTCAATGCAACAAGCCAACCAATTGGTTGAGGCTACACCAGGGTTTGTTCTGCTAGGGATACAAAGGGTTGACTCAAAATATCGCCCGGCCAAAGCGAGACTAGAATTAGATCTACTCTAGACACTGATAATTCATATGTCATACACATGATATAGCCCTACATGAATCATTTTCATTAGTTAGTACATCGTCAGAAGAAAGTGACAAACAAACAAACAGTGTTTCTTCCAGACTTTTTTCTCGGGGGCGGGGGGGGGGGGGGGGGCTTTGCCTGAGACTGAGATGCCTGGAAAAAACTCTGCAAACAAATGAAATTAATAGTCTGATTATTAGAAGTAAGAAGTAGGCCCCTGCCCTAAAGTACTTAATGTAGGTCTATGGCCCTGATGATAGTAAATTACAAAATTAGTAGATTTAGTAGTAGATATCTGATATAATAACTTAATAAGCCTAAAAAAAAAAGTCTTTAGTAAAGCAAGAAAAACAAAACAATGTAGACTAGTTGAATGAACTGATATATCTAGAATCTAGGTGATAGATCATTAGATCTCACTCTAGAATTCTAGATTCTACAATCTACTGATTAATTAACTGAACTAGAATCTACTGAGTTTCAGAGTTAAGCAGTCTCAAACTCATCAAGTCATCAGTAATCACAACTTGATCAACTCAAGTCTCAGCAACTCAGTCTCACTCTCAGTCCGTTCCTTAAGAAAATACTAATTTCTAATTACCTCTATTGAATTTTACAGGGTAAGCGATTATAATAATTAGCTTAAAACTCACAATTTTATCTAGATCTATTCACCTTATGTTACGTTGGCTACAGTCATATTATTGAGTAATGGGTAATCTAGTTTAGACTAAAATAGAATAATAAACTCGGATATTGTAGATTCCGAAGAGTTCCACGACTACAGGAAGTAAATTTACGTAGTTCCGAACTTGCGCAGTGCCGATTACTTTCTCTATAAAAAGGCGATGAAAGCTTAAAATTACATTTGGTGAAAAACCTTTCATTTAAATTGTGGAAAGTGAATGATAATTTACATCACATAATAGTCATTCGCGAGTCAAGTGCAATGCCTCCAACAATACCCGATAGTGCAGTTGCGCCTAAATGTTCAGGTATTAAAGTCTTCGAAAAAACACACATGTGTTCTAACCTTTGACATTCGTGACCCTTGCTAAATTTGTACACACCCATGTGCGTGACCTACTTTAACACCCGTTCCATTGTTTACATTCCAAAACCACGACCCCCCCCCCTAATTAAGTAATTTATGAATAAATATTCTAGATCTTTTATAATCCATATCAAATATAGATCTAAACCTTAATTAATAATTATACACTGTCACATTATAAATGTATTTCATAATTATTCTAGGCCATTCTAGTTACTTAACTATACTTAACTAATAACTATACTATGTAATAGTATGTAATACTACTAATACTAATACTGCTATGTATTGTATTATGTAACTATAGGCCTAGGCCTATACTATAGAATTATCAATTATTAATATTAGGCTATAGAATAATACAATAATAGATTATTGATTAGATTTTTATAGTTAGGCCTATGCCTATACCGTATACTTAACTATACTTTTTTATTACTATACTATACTATAATAATACTATAGAAATAGATTTAATAACATTTAATTTAGATTTTAGATAGGCCCTATGGCCTATACTATACTATAGTGTAACTATAGGCCATTATTTAAAGGCCTATCCTAGACTTTTACTTAGTACTTAGTTACTTAAACCTAATTAGTATTACTAAGTATTAGTAGGCCTACTAAAATTACTTAATAGGCCTAATACTTAGCTACTTATTTAATTAATTATGATTATGTAACTACTTTAAACTAATTTAAAGTTTAAACTAAAGAAGCCTAATTTAGTAATTATTATTATATTATAACTCTAGCCTATAGCTAGCCATTACATTAGGGTTAGGTTCTAGTTTTTAAGAGGCCTTGATAACTTGTTAGGCCTCCTAATTACTAATATTGAAGTGTTTATAATTTTATTAATAGTAAATTTCAGTAAATTATTAATATATTGTAACTATTAAGGGCCTATTCTATAGTAATATAAGCCTACTTTGATTCAGATATAACACATTCTTACTCAACTCTCAACACTGATTTTCTTCAATTTTGTTTCCATTATAGGCTTGTTTGAAGAGCTTGAATCTATATTAAAAGAAAGAATAATGATATTTGATGGTGGAATGGGAACTATGATTCAGCGTGAAAGATTAGAAGAACAAGATTTCAGAGGAGACATTTTCAAAGATCATCCTCGTAACTTAAAAGGGAACAATGATTTGTTAAGCCTAACTAAACCAGATGTTATTTTAAAGATACACAAGGTTGGCTGATCAGTTTTTTTTTATACATGTACCAATACTTTTTATTAGAAAAAAACAAAACAAAAAATTTGATAATCCTATTACTCATATGATCATAACATTTTTTTTGTACATTATAAGCTTTCGAGTAACTAGTATAACATTTTGTTAACATTTATTTTACTTCTGAGTTAGATATACTATGCAATGTGTAGATTAATTGTAAATTTATGAAGATCTAAATGCTATTGTGCTTTTTCACCAACTAAAATGAAATTTTACTTTTATTTAGGAGTATTTAAATGCTGGGGCAGATTTTATTGAGACAAACACATTCAGTGGAACTTCTATAGCACAATCTGATTATGGTCTGGAAAAATTAGTAAGTTAAAAAAGTTTTTAAAGTTTTTTTCTTACTGAAAAAACAAGACCGCCTAAATAATTGCTTTTCAGTTTTTAACAAATAGCACATAGACCTAACATTTTTCTTCTTGTCATACTTTCTATTTGATATGATGCACTTCTAAGGTTTACAGGCTCAATAAGGAATCTGCAGAGTTAGCAAAGAAAGCCTGTGAAGAAGTAACTTTTCAAACAGGTAAAATATTTTTTTTAAAAAGTTAAGGCAAAATTTAAGTACTGTGATCTTTCCATGTATGTTTAATTATGTTTGTAGTTATCGTTCAAAAGACAACATTGAATAATGAGAATTTTATTTTGTCATTTAGGAGTTAAACGGTATGTAGCCGGTGCTATGGGGCCCACCAATAGAACACTCTCTATTTCACCATCTGTAGAAAACCCAGAGTTTAGAAATATAAGTAAGTTTTGTTTAAATTATTTTGAAGATAGTTTCAGTTTTCAATCTAAGAAATCTAGGAATTATTTTGTACTTTAAAAGTTGCTATAATTTTTATAACTTTAAATTTGTAGCTTTTGATGAACTGGTAGAAGCATATGCTGAACAAGCAAGGGGGTTACTAGATGGAGGGTCAGATGTGCTTCTGGTGGAGACCATATTTGATACTGCAAATGCAAAAGCCGCACTATTTGCTATTGAAAATGTGTTTATTTCTGGATACACGCGTGTGCCAGTATTTGTAAGTTTTTCTTTGGTTACAAAATATTTTTGTCATTCCATTTTATTATATAATTGTTTCTTCTTCTAGCTTTTTTTTACCTAGTACCCCCATTTGATTTTCAGAAAAATGCAATTTTGTGCGCTTTTTTTAAAATAAATTTATTTTACGGTATTTTATTTTAAAAAAATTTAATGCCTAATAAAGTAATAAGTATATTTATTTTTTTAACTGACAGCACAATTTATTTATTAAACAATACAACTTTTAGGTTTCAGGAACAATTGTTGATAAAAGTGGGAGAACTCTTTCTGGGCAGACAACCGAGGCTTTTGCAATCAGTGTTTCACATCTAAAGCCCATGTGTTTGGGACTTAATTGTGCTTTGGGTGCAAAAGAAATGAGGCCTTTTATAGAAGCCATTAGCAAAAGCACTACAGCTTATGTTCTATGCTACCCTAATGCAGGTAAACTATTTAAATTCAATATTTTAAATACTTTTCTGTTGAACCGAAATGATATTTACCCTAGATCAAAGTTCAAGCTGTTTATAACAAACTAATGTTTACTTTTTCACACTAGGCCTTCCAAATACTTTTGGGGATTATGATGAGACCCCAGAGTCAACAGCAGCGCAAGTCAAAGTGAGTTGAAACATTTCAGTAGAAAATATATAGTGCTGAAAGAAGACAGTTTTAGCATGGAAGTTTGGTGATAAGTTTGTGATCATAGTTTTTTGTTTGTTTCTGCTTATTAGTTTCTGACAACAAACCCATGATTGAAACTTGTGTGGTGTTTAGTTATTGTTATTTGACTTTTATGTCTACTTACATTTTTTTCCTTCTTAATTTGTTTAAAGAATGAAAGTATATGTTCAATTTTTTCACTCAAAAAGTTTGGGGGAGGAATAGATTTAAATGCTTTTAAACAAAAAAGAATAACATAGAGTTATAAGCTAAAATTTAAAATTTAGAGTTAACATAGTATTAATAATTGATCAATTTGATCTTAACTTACAGGAATTCATGAAGGATGGGTTAATTAATATAATAGGAGGATGCTGTGGGACAAGACCATGTCACATTAAGTAAGTCATTTTCCTAAATCTGTTTTCATGAAAAGTCGTGACAGTAAAAAATATCCATTGGAAATTTATGTACTTATTTATAATTATTTATTCATAAATGAATAGCTAATTACTACATATTATGTTCAGTATGTATGAAAAGCTGCAAAAAGATAATAAAAAAAGGTCAGAAAAACATTTAAAATATATTTAAAATTGGAGATTGAAAAACATCTTTTCAGAGCTATTGCTGAAACTGCTAAACATTTCAAACCAAGAAAACCTCCAAGTGAATTTCGCAAGGATTGTTGTTGTCTAGCTGGTAGGTATAAAGTTATAAGGACTAAAAACATTTAATGATGTTATCTTTAAAAACAATTCATACATATAGGCCTACATACATACATTTTTCAAACAGGATTAGAGCCATTTTACATCTCTCCTATTACAAATTTTGTCAACATTGGAGAGAGGTGCAATGTTGCAGGATCTAAACGCTTCTGTAGACTCATTAAAACAAGAAAGTTTGAGGTATGTTTCACAAGCTTTTTTATTTAAAATTTGTAGTTTTTTTTTCTTCAATAAATTGAGAATTGATTTGTCTGCTGAGATCAAATAACTACAAATAAACTCTGTATAATAATTGACCTTTGACATATTTGATGTACAGGAGGCGCTGAGTGTAGCAAGAGAACAGGTACAAAATGGGGCTCAGATCATTGACATCAACATGGATGAAGGCATGTTGGATGGGGCGGCGGCCATGACAACTTTTGTTAATCTCATCGCTTCTGAGCCAGAGATCGCCAAGGTAAAAATATTTTCTTAATTCAGTCATACTTCTGACTTTTCTGTTGTTGCCCTTTTTTTTAACAGTGTTGTCGACTTAGGTTAAAATTACATAGCACGAATTTGAAAGTAATATTCACTCAATGTTCTTTCAGTTTAATTATAGAAGTATGTAAGTACTTTGAGCGGTAGGACATTTAACATTTGTCTTTGTTTAATGAATGTGTATTTATTTGTTCCTCTGTGCATTGATTCATCCAACTTTGCTGTAATTGCAGGTTCCTCTGTGCATTGATTCATCCAACTTTGCTGTAATTGAGGCTGGCCTGAAGTGTGCCCAGGGGAAATGTATTGTGAACAGCATCAGCTTGAAAGAGGGAGAGGACGACTTTCTCAAGAAAGCCAGGGTCATCAAGCAGTACGGAGCTGCTGTTGTCATTATGGCTTTTGATGAGGAGGGGCAGGTAGGTTGGCTACTGGGGTAGACTTTACATGAACTGTACTAGCCGAGCTCTTTTTACACAGGATAGAAGTTTAATTTAAAATTTTGTTTGTGATATAGTACCCTAACACACCCAGAGTTAACGTAAAGCTTGGTTTCTAAAGTAAAATAATTATACACAATTAATTAAACACTTAAATATTAGTATTATATTTACTAAAAGAAATAACTAGTTACCTCACTTTTTCTGAAGCTTGCATAACTTCATGGATTCAACTTCCATTCTTAAATTTAAATATTGATATTATATTTTCTAAAATAAATAACTTTGATTTTTATAAAAATATTCTATTTCTTTTAAAAAAATGTTTTATACTTTTTTTTCCAACAGGCCACTGACACAGACCGTAAAGTAGCTATTTGCACCAGATCCTATAATCTACTTACCCAGAAAATAGGGTTCAACCCAAATGACATTATCTTTGATCCTAATATTTTAACTATAGCTACTGGTATTGATGAACACAACGGCTATGGGGTTAACTTCATTGAAGCCACAGCAATCATTAAGGTATAGATACACATATTTGCCAATTTTCTAATTTATAACAATACATTTTACCACTGTTAAACTCTTTAAATCTGTTGAATTACAGCAACTTCTACAAGGTATTAATTGAATAAAATATATTCCTGAGTACATGACAATGTTCGTACTTTCCCCAGAAAACTTTGCCAGGTGCAAGAGTGAGTGGAGGGGTGTCCAACTTTTCCTTCTCATTCAGGGGGATGGAAGCTGTAAGGGAGGCAATGCACAGTGTTTTTCTTTACCATGCCATCAAGGTGAGAGATCATGAGGAGTGTAAACAACTGATTAATTAATTAACAATTTTTATTTGTAGTCAGCTTTAATTGATAGACATTAATTTTTTTAAATTAAGTGGAAAGTATATAGTCGGTGCAATTATTTTAAGGTTTTTGAGATAGTTTTTGTGTAAATGTAAGGTAAACTTTACAAACTTTGATAGGCTGGTATGGACATGGGCATTGTCAATGCTGGTGCTTTGCCTTTGTATGATGACATAGAACCTGAGCTGTTGACAATGTGTGAGAACTTGTTGTGGAATAAAGATCCAGATGGCACAGAAAAACTTTTGGCTTATGCTCAAGTAAGATATTTTGGTACTTGTTAATTAGTCAGACTAGTAATGATTATTTTTGCCCAAACCAAACTTTACTCTAAGTATCATTATCAAAATTAATTGCGTTTTTTTTTTAATGTTTTTTTCTTTAAATCTTGATTAACCAGACTTGGTCATGTTTTACAGCTTGTAGAAATTTAATAAAAATAGTACTTAAAAGGAAATTATTTTATTTTTAAATTTAACTTAGCAGATTATCATACAATTTGAATCAAGTATTTATTTTACAAAGCGATTATTTTATTTGTGTTTTAGCAAATGACACAAGGAAACAAAGTGAAGTCAACACAAGAGGATGAGTGGAGACTGAAGTCAGTGGAGGAAAGGCTCTCTTACTCTCTTGTCAAGGTAGACCTACATGAATTTTTAAATATGCCAGATAATTATATAAATATTCAAACCAAAATATTTTTTATTTCAATTGTTTTTTTTCATTACTTTTTATTATTTTAAAGTTTTATAATAAAAGTTATTGTAATAAAAGTGTAATTATCAATTTTAGGGCATTGATAAATATGTAGTAGATGATACAGAAGAGGCTCGTCAGAATACTGTGTTGTACCCCAGACCTCTTAATGTCATTGAAGGCCCACTGATGAAGGTAGGCTGTTAAGTTAATATATATTTTTTTAAAGCATTGATTCTTGTAAATGTATGAAATACTGTTTGATATACAAATCTAAAATTTATAAATATACTGAGCTGAAATATTCAAGAGTAATTTGCAGACATTTGTTCTGATACAAACAGTACTCTCCAGTCAAAATAAGTAAAAATTGTCTGTTTTTCTAACTGTAGGGCATGAGTATTGTGGGTGATTTGTTTGGCGCTGGGAAAATGTTTCTGCCACAAGTCATCAAGTCTGCCAGGGTGATGAAGAAAGCTGTCGGCCATCTTATTCCCTACATGGAGATAGAGAGGCAGGCAATATTAAAGGCCAATGGCCTCCCAGAGAATGCTGTAAGTACAGGTAGAGATGGGGTTGGGGCAAGGGGTGGGGTGGGACACCAGGTCCCCAGAGAATGCTGTAAGTACTGGTACAGATGGGGTTGGACCAGGGGATGGGTTGGGACACGGGGCCTCCTGAGGATAGATTAAACTGTGATATCAGTATTTAAACCTTCTCGTGTCTTAGTAAAAAAACTAAAATATTCTCTCTTAAAAATATTTTGTTGGATTAAAATTAAGCCACATTGGTGGTCATTAAGCCAAGTACTTTGGCCATGGCATAGGAAATAGTTGTGTGGTCAATAGGTAGTTTAAAATAGTTTTTTGGTTATTGTATTTGTAGGGATTGTGTTTGCCTAATATTAAATAATAACCAGTTGTCTTACTTGACAAGATCCCTTTTCCGGAATCTTACATTACCACATGGATTGAACCTCAAGTCTTAAGTTTTCTGTCCTGCTTTGTTTCTTCACTATGCCATTGCATTTGATGTTGCTGCTGATTTTTAAAAAAAGTGAAACTCACTTTCCTCTCATCACTAGCTTTTCTAATTTGTGCCCAAGAGACATGGGGTAGATGAAGTAGAGTTCATCTGTTTCAATGACCTTGACATACAGGGAGAAAATGTGGTCAGCTGCCATAGTTTCCTAATATTAGTCAGATACCCATTAGAGCTGGATTGGACTCAGGATTCAAACTTGAAACATTCGGGTTAGCAGTCATAAGCTCTACCATCCGACCTTGATATCCCCCCCCCCCCCCCCACTATGTATGTTTTTCTCTTAAGTGTCACCCTCAGATGATAATTAAAAAAAAAATTCTCCTCTGAATACAGGAACCCAATTACCAAGGCACATTTGTTATAGCTACAGTGAAAGGAGACGTGCATGATATAGGCAAGAACATTGTTGCTGTTGTCTTAGGGTGCAACAATTTCAAGTAGGATTTTTTTTTTTCATTTTCTTCTAAAATAAATTCTGAGTTAATTCTGTACTAGAGTATTTTACAGTAAAAATGATAGCAATATTTTATAACAAATTTGAGGTTAATAATTAAGATTTTATAGAATAAACTAATAAATAATTAAAATAATATTGTTAAAAATAACATGTTTTTTTGTCTCCCATTAAAATTTGACTTTTTTTTTTAGAGTTATAGATCTTGGTGTCATGTGCCCCTGTGAGAAGATAATTGAAACAGCCATCAGAGAGAAAGCAGGTAAATTTGTTGTAGGTTTCTTGTTGTATAATTGAGTTGCAAAATATCTGGTTGTATAATTTAGATTTTTGTTGTATAATTTTAAGACCATGTTGTATATTGAATTGCCTGTCATTGAATAAAAAAATACTTTTGATGTAGCCACGTCATAACCTTTGATAAAAAAAATTGTATATAGTCAAATTATAAAAGCTCTTCTGTTGTACATATCCAATTATAATTGTATTTGTAAAATAATAGGTTTGAAAACTTAAAAAAAAGACAACAGCTTTGTTAAACTGCATTTTTAAACATTTACATTATGTTGCTTTTTTAAAATAAATTTTTATAATATTGTGTGAAATTTGTGAACAAACTATATAAAAAGTTCAAATTCTGCAGACTTTATAGGATTGTCTGGCCTCATCACGCCATCTTTAGATGAGATGATTTTTAATGTAAAAGAGTTTGAGAGGGTTGGTCTTAACATTCCAGTCTTAATTGGTGGGGCAACAACATCAAGGTAAGCTTTTTAGTATTACACATTGTAAATACATTTACCGAATTGGTGGAGTAACAACATTAAAGTACGCTTTTTAGTATTACATATTGTATACACATTTACCAAATTGGTGTAGTAACAACATTAAAGTAAGCTTTTTAGTATTACACATTGTATACACATTTACCGAATTGGTGGAGTAACAACATTAAAGTAAGCTTTTTAGTATTACACATTGTATACACATTTACCGAATGGGTGGAGTAACAACATTAAAGTAAGCTTTTTAGTATTACACATTGTATACACATTTACCGAATTGGTGGAGTAACAACATTAAAGTAAGCTTTTTAGTATTACACATTGTATACACATTTACCGAATTGGTGGAGTAACAACATTAAAGTAAGCTTTTTAGTATTACACATTGTATACACATTTACCGAATTGGTGGAGTAACAACATTAAAGTAAGCTTTTTAGTATTACACATTGTATACACATTTACCGAATTGGTGGAGTAACAACATTAAAGTAAGCTTTTTAGTATTACGCATTGTATACACATTTACCGAATAGGTGGAGTAACAACATTAAAGTAAGCTTTTTAGTATTACTTATTGTATACACTTTTACTAAATTGATAAGCAACATTAAAGTTAGCGTTATACCATTTTCTAAAAGTATTTCCCACCATCTTATCTTATGTCTAGACAACACACAGCTGTCAAGATTGCACCTCGCAAATCAACACCAGTGGTCCACGTCTTGGATGCATCTAAGGCTGTTGTTGTGGTAGGTACCTCTTTCTGTATGGTGGGTCTGGTGGCTTCACCCATAGCCTCATCTGTTGTTGTGGTAGGTACCTCTTTCTGTATGGTGGGTCTGTTGTCTTCACTCATAGCCTTAGTCTTCTCATCATGGGTCAATAAGTCTATTGGTATGTCGACTAGCATAATTTCAAATTTTTCTTGCCATCCCCTGATGTGTATTCACCATAAATAAACACCAGAGAATAGAAACACACTGATAGTGTCTGGTCATAAACCACCTGGACAAAAACCCCTGGTTGAGGCTTATATAAAAAATACTAATGATGATCAGAATAAAAAACTTATAATTAAATACAATATAAACATAAGAAAAAAAAACCCGGTGTTTTAATTTGAATTAATCGTTTTATTTTATTACAATTTTAAAAAAGAGAGAATATTGTGATGTCAATATCCCTTATTGAACTCAAAACTTCTGTTCCAGCCTTCAACTGGTGTTGCCTCAGTTTCTACTGAAAGACTTACAGCTTCTCAGCAGAATGCCCTTTGCCAACTCTTTTTGCTTTACATAAACATAATGATTTAGAAAGAATGTTAACATTTGTTAACTGTTTGAAAGTTTTCCTTTGCAAGGCCAGCATAATTCCAACAGTAGCCTAAAATGTTTTCTGTACTTGTGATTAGTAACTAAATAAACAACAAAATTCAAGGAAGCTGTAAGGCAGAACGTGAGGTTCATTATGAAAGATATCCACATTCTAATGAAACCTTTGGAGAAATCTGGCGAAATCAGAGAGGCAATGCTTATGAAAACTCTGATTGTATTTGTGATAACCAATATGGCAGCCATCAATGTGACAGCTTTGATGAACCTCACTCCTTTGTAACTTTGAGTTGCTGATGTTGGCGCTGAGGATTTAGATTTCTGGAACTTGATTGAAGATCTCAGACTTTTAGTTAGCACAATTAACCCAACGGTAATGGTCATTTCAGCAGCGAGGGGCCATACAATTTCACTAATAATCCCAGCTATGTTTAAAATTATGGCCTTATTTTCAACATACCATGGCACATTTTGTGTTGAATTATCTGGCGACTTATCCAACTGGTACTCCTGGTAAACTACAGCAACCGGTAAATGTAGGATCATGGACAGCAGGGTTAGGCACAGCAAACTGACTTTGGTTCTTCCTCTGGTAAAAATGGCTTTAAAATGTAGCGGTAAGCCAATCAGGCAGGATTTTTTTACTATAATAAAACCAGAAATGGTTAAAGTCAGGTTATAGAAAGTAATGGTACAGACTCCCAGATGCTCAGCTACAAAACAAAAATATTTCCTGTTTAAAGAATAACAAAAACTTACTACCATAATAAACAACAAATCAGACAGAAGGTAAAGCACGTCTGCCACTGCGAGAACAAAAAAACTGAGGACGATGTTCTCAGTCAGCCCCATCTTGGACAGGATGATAATGTTCAGGACATTGGTCAGCACACCAAAGATGGCTACCACAACGATTACTTTATATGTTGTTAAAATGTCATCATACGATACTTCGGTAAAACTACTCTCTGTGATATTTGGATTCATTGTAACAGCTTGTGACAACTGAGTTTCTTCTGTAAAGTTTAATACAGTTTAGTGATGCAGGTATCTACTAGTGCATATGTCTTGTAAAGTCTAATACAGTTTAGTGATGCAAGGCTCCAAGTCGTTTATTGTTTTAAAAATTTTAATCAATAAGAACATTGTAGACTTCTGTGAAATGTGTCTTGAACTTGCACCAAAAGAAACTGAACTAAATAACGGGACAATTTTATTATTGCCAGTGTCAGGGACTGCTCTGGTTACTTTCCAAGTTGAACAAGTACAAAGTCAAGCAAATACAAAATTATTTTTACTGTCAATTATTTTCTGCTAGATGCATGTGGGGTTGTTTTAATTATGGAAGTTTATTCAATGATTTTTATTTTAGATCTTGTCCATTTTCTTCTGTAAGTTTTTAATGTAAATATTTTTTTTGTTTTGCTGTAGTAATTTTCTGCCATCTGCGACACTGTGTCAATAAACGGATGCACTCTGGCAGCCATTAATTAGCTCGTTAGTTTCTATTTGCTGTTCTATGACCTACATGCAAATTAATACTTCCGCAATTAGCATTGATTTATTTGCAAGAATCTCCTGACACCTGAAAACTTCTGTTTGTTTTGTCCCCTTCTTTGTTTAATTTTGTGTTTGCAATAACATTGAGTAAACCTCCACATCTTGTTAGGTGTGTCATCTGTTACTCTGTGTATTAGACTGTTTTTTTTTCTTCTTTGTTTGATTTTGGTTAAAAATTTATATTTATGTTACTAAAATACTATAAGTAATTATAACTCGGTAAATATTAATAACAAAAAATGTATTTGATTTAGACAGCCTATAATAACATGCCAGGTCTGAATTAATTTAACAGCAGTAGATTTTATACTGCATTGACTGCTCTGACTCACAGCTGATCATGAATTGACCATAAGATATTCACCTTTGAATACATTTGTTTCTGTGCTTGTTCCATATTGTCATCAAGTTTATGTCTTGCAGCTTTCTTCTTTGAGTGATGCCACGGTGAGAGAAGAGTTTCTGGAGGAACTGAATGAAGAGTACCAGGAGATCAGAGAAGAACATTATGAAACTCTACAGGTAAGTGGTGACATATACCTGCTCATGCTATTGTTTACTTGGGCTACCTGACTTTGTTGTATAAGGTGGGAATCATCATCAGTAAAGTGACAATTTCACACTGATTTTTTTCACTTGTATTTTACATAATGGATCATGCATCAATGATGGTCAAATTTTGATTTAAAACATGTTCAGTTCTCTTCAGTCTTTCCACACCTTTTAATTTTTATATTTGACCATGTGTTCCCAGGACAGAAAATATCTAACAATTGAAAAAGCTCGGGATAAAAAACTGGAAATTGATTGGACATGTACGCCATTACCAGGTGAATTTATTTTAATTTTTAATCAACTTTAAATATCAGCTTAGATATCAATTAATTAATTACTCCCATTTCCTAGTTCCCTGCTTCTTGTCTTATCACAGTTATTTTTTAATAAGCCTCTTGTAGATGAATATAAAATGAGTCATAAATGAAATAAAAAGCCTTATTTTTGCCCTTTCAAATATGAAGAAATGAGACAGTCTGTAGCTTGTGATTTTCACTTGTGTTTACAGTTTTTATATGCTATGTACCTCAGTAAATATATCTTATCCAAAATGACTAAAGCTTTTTCTACATTTTGTTTTGGTAACAGTGAGACCTACATTTATTGGAGTGAAAACATTTGAAGATTTTGACCTGCAAACCCTAGTGCCTTACATAGACTGGAGGCCATTTTTTAATGTGTGGCAACTCAGGGGGAAGTACCCAAACAGGGGTTACCCTAAAATATTCAACGACCCAGATGTTGGTAAGTAAACAGGGCTATTTCCTGTAAAAATGTGTAGTCTTCATGTCAAAGTTTAAGCGTACAGATTTTTAAAATGTGTACATATTAAAATGTGTGCTGAATTTTTTTATTCTTTTAAAAATGTGTTCATGACAAATTATAAGTGTTGTGTTTTTTATCTGTAAAACAAGTAAAAATCCCTTTGTAAGTGTACAAAGTTATCAAACTATGAAGCTGAAGTTATATGTACAGGACTTGAAAACTGTAGATGGGTTTATAAACTTAATAAAAATCCTTCCATTGAATAAATTCGTCAGCACTGTTTTCAAAACTTGCTACACTTGTATGAAAAAATTGTTTAAAATTCTAGGAGCAGAAGCCAAGAAAGTTTTTGATGATGCCAACAAGCTGCTAGAGAAGACAATAAAAGAGAAAAAATTAAAAGCAACAGCCACCATCGCCTTCTATCCTGCCAATAGTGTTGGTGATGATATAGAGGTGTACGACGAGGATGGTAACACCATCGCTATTTTGTATGGGTTGAGACAACAGGTACGTTCTCACCTGCTGTTTCAGTGTTAATTACAGGATTTATATAATTGTATGGATTAATAACAGGAGTTATATAATTGTATGTATTAAGAACAGGAGTTATATAATTGTATGTATTAAGAACAGGAGTTATATAATTGTATGTATTAATACCAGAAAGTATTTTATTTTAAGAGACTCTACAAGTAAGATCTGACTAATAATAAAACACAAGTACAAAATCTAAATTATTTAATGATTAAAAAAACATTATTTTGAGCTAAAAATATGTTGCCAAACTAGTAATTAATTTTTAAGCCTTGCAGTTTTTTTTTTTTAAATTTTGAAAAATATTCTTTTAATATGTGTCTTTGTGTGTAATAACAGAGTTAGTGTGGTTCAATAATGTTTGTGTGTGTTCTGGTAACAGCAGAGTTAGTGTGATCCAATAATATGTTTGTGTGTGTTCTGGTAACAGTAGAGTTAGTGTGATCCAATAATATGTTTGTGTGTGTTCTGGTAACAGCAGAGTTAGTGTGATCCAATAATATGTTTGTGTGTGTTCTGGTAACAGCAGAGTTAGTGTGATCCAATAATATGTTTGTGTGTGTTCTGGTAACAGTAGAGTTAGTGTGATCCAATAATATGTTTGTGTGTGTTCTGGTAACAACAGAGTTTGTGTGATCCAATAATATGTTTGTGTGTGTTCTGGTAACAGTAGAGTTAGTGTGATCCAATAATATGTTTGTGTGTGTTCTGGTAACAGTAGAGTTAGTGTGATCCAATAATATGTTTGTGTGTGTTCTTGTAACAACAGAGTTTGTGTGATCCAATAATATGTTTGTGTGTGTTCTGGTAACAGCAGAGTTAGTGTGATCCAATAATATGTTTGTGTGTGTTCTGGTAACAGCAGAGTTAGTGTGATCCAATAATATGTTTGTGTGTGTTCTGGTAACAGCAGAGTTAGTGTGATCCAATAATATGTTTGTGTGTGTTCTGGTAACAGTAGAGTTAGTGTGATCCAATAATATGTTTGTGTGTGTTCTGGTAACAGTAGAGTTAGTGTGATCCAATAATATGTTTGTGTGTGTTCTGGTAACAGTAGAGTTAGTGTGATCCAATAATATGTTTATGTGTGTTCTGGTAACAGCAGAGTTAGTGTGATCCAATAATATGTTTGTGTGTGTTCTGGTAACAGCAGAGTTAGTGTGATCCAATAATATGTTTGTGTGTGTTCTGGTAACAGTAGAGTTAGTGTGATCCAATAATATGTTTGTGTGTGTTCTGGTAACAGTAGAGTTAGTGTGATCCAATAATATGTTTGTGTGTGTTCTGGTAACAACAGAGTTAGTGTGATCCAATAATATGTTTGTGTGTGTTCTGGTAACAGTAGAGTTAGTGTGATCCAATAATATGTTTGTGTGTGTTCTGGTAACAGTAGAGTTAGTGTGATCCAATAATATGTTTGTGTGTGTTCTGGTAACAGCAGAGTTAGTGTGATCCAATAATATGTTTATGTGTGTTCTGGTAACAGCAGAGTTAGAGTGATCCAATAATATGTTTGTGTGTGTTCTGGTAACAGTAGAGTTAGTGTGATCCAATAATATGTTTGTGTGTGTTCTGGTAACAGCAGAGTTTGTGTGATCCAATAATATGTTTATGTGTGTTCTGGTAACAGCAGAGTTAGTGTGGTTCAATAATGTTTGTGTGTTCTGGTAACAGCATAGTTAGTGTGGTTCAATAATGTGTGTGTGTGTTCTGGTAACAGTAGAGTTAGTGTGGTTCAATAATGTGTGTGTGTGTTCTGGTTTAGGCCCAGAAAGACAGTGCAGACAACTCTCCCTACCTGTGCCAGTCTGACTTTGTGGCATCAAAAGACAGTGGCGTCAAGGATTACATTGGTTTGTTTGCCTGCACGGCTGGCATTGGGGCAGATCAGTTCTGCAAGGAGTGAGATTTTATTTTTACAATTATATTTTTCTTTTAGTTTTTAGTTTGTAAACACAATGGTGATTATGAGGGAAGCAAGATAATCAGAGAGTTCTTTTGTTAATTTTACACTCACTTCTAGGCAGAGATAATTGATATTCTGTATTAATGAGCATCAACATAAATAGAAGTATGGATTTCCTAGTTTAATTCATCAAGAATTTTAATTAACCTAAAAAAGTTTTATACCAAAAAAAGGCCTAAACTGTTTTTAGCATCTATATATATAATTCTCTTCTGGGAGCTGTTAGCAAACAAGCTGCAAGCGCCTCCTTGCAGTCCCCTCTCTTTCTCTCTATCACTATCACTACCACCCCCACCCCACCCCCACATTGTCTGGTGAGCTGTGGTCACGCTGTTTACATTTTACAATCATAGAGACGGGTTTGGTGACGGCTATTAGGGGCAGATAATTTTGTTTGAAACGATTTTAAACTTAGAGGAGGTAACTAAGAGGAGGCTGCTTTCAGTTGGGGGGGGAGGGGGGTTTAGTGTTTTTAAGCAAATATTTTCAGTGGCAGCATTGGTACTGTCGAATTCACAAATTATAAATTACTGAAAAGTAGAAAAAAAAAAAAAACTAAATAGCGGCGTATGATACGCCGCGGGTCGGCTCGTTTTTAAAATTAAACATCTTGAAACAAAATTGATGCTAAGGTAAATAAAAAAAAAAAAAATTATAAGTGATGCATTTTCTTTCAAAGTTTAGAAAATGCCAATAAATTAACAGCTGCCTTTATGCAATAATAATTATCAGAATATTATCAACACATTATACTTGTATCAATCTTATTCATAGCCCTCAAACTTTTAACTTGTGATCAATTTACAAATGAGCAGATACGAAGAAGATAGTGATGACTTCAACTCTATCAATGTCAAGGCCATCGCAGACAGGTTGGCTGAAGCATTTGCTGAGTACCTACATGAGAGAGTACGCAGAGAGTACTGGGGCTACTCTTGTAGTGAGGACTTGAACACAGACGATTTACTGAGGGTCAAGTATCAGGTATGTTCTGGGTGGGTCAAATACCTGGTATGTGGTGGGCGGGTCAAATACCACTGGGTGGGTCAAATACCTGGTATGTTCTGGGTGGGTCAAATACCACTGGGTGGGTCAAATACCTGGTATGTTCTGGGTGGGTCAAATACCACTGGGTGGGTCAAATACCTGGTATGTTCTGGGTGGGTCAAATACCACTGGGTGGGTCAAATACCTGGTATGTTCTGGGTGGGTCAAATACCACTGGGTGGGTCAAATACCTGGTATGTTCTGGGTGGGTCAAATACCACTGGGTGGGTCAAATACCTGGTATGTTCTGGTTGGGTCAAATACCAGGTATGTTCTGGGTGGGTCAAATACCACTGGGCGGGTCAAATACCAGGTATGTTCTGGGTGGGTCAAATACCAGGTATGTTCTGGGTGGGTCAAATACCAGGTATGTTCTGGGTGGGTCAAATACCAGGTATGTTCTGGGTGGGTCGAATACCACTGGGTGGGTCAAATACCTGGTATGTTCTGGTTGGGTCAAATACCAGGTATGTTCTGGGTGGGTCAAATACCACTGGTTGGGTCAAATACCTGGTATGTTCTGGTTGGGTCAAATACCAGGTATGTTCTGGGTGGGTCAAATACCACTGGGTGGGTCAAATACCTGGTATGTTCTGGGTGGGTCAAATACCAGGTATGTTCTGGGTGGGTCAAATACCAGGTATGTTCTGGGTGGGTCAAATACCAGGTATGTTCTGGGTGGGTCAAATACCAGGTATGTTCTGGGTGGGTCAAATACCAGGTATGTTCTGGGTGGGTCAAATACCAGGTATGTTCTGGGTGGGTCGAATACCACTGGGTGGGTCAAATACTACTGGGTGGGTCAAGTACCTGGTATGTTCTGGGTGGGTCAAATAACACTGGGCGGGTCAAATACCTGGTATGTTCTGGGTGGGTCAAATACCAGGTATGTTCTGGAAATGGATAGTTAATGGGAAAATTTGAAAGAATCCAAGTAAAAATCCAAGTATAATTATATTTGCAAAACAGGCTGATGTAAACACAATGATGAATGTAACAGAAATAAGATGTGTTGGGGAATTGGTTTTAAAATTGTTACTTTCCCTTCCATAACTTGTACCAGAAGACCTTACAAAAAAAACCCCAATTGATTTCCTTAGGGCATACGGCCAGCAGCTGGGTACCCCAGTCAGCCTGACCACACAGAGAAGGTGACCATGTGGCAACTCATGAAGCCTGACCAAGTTGGCATCACTTTGACAGACTCCCTGGCCATGTACCCAGCATCCTCTGTGTCTGGGATCTACCTGGCCAACCCACAGTGTGTTTATTTTGCTACAGACAAGCTATGCAAAGATCAGGTAATGATATTTTTTCATACAGCTTTTCTATTTTCAAATACATTGATGACTGCTTTTTGACTGGGTGATAGTTTTTGGACCACAAAGCTGCTTTTTGTAAATTACAAGTTTGAATTTTTAAAAACTATTAGGCATTATTACTTAAGGATATATAAGTTTATATAGATTAAGATTAAATTTGATTTATTCTTACATTTAAAGGTTGATCTATATTTTTAATTTGCATAACCTAATGCTGCAATATTGCTGTCTGTTGAAATTTCGATTTTAGAATTTTTTTAACTGGGTATAATACAAGTAATTTGGCTAGAATTCCAAATAAAAATACATATTTAAAGTCCTAATAAAAATAAAAAGGATACATAATTTGAAGTCCTGATAAAAATCTAAAAATAAAACGGATGCATATTGTCAAGTCAAGAAGTTTGATGAATATTTCTACTCACCTTCAGATAACTGACTATGCACAAAGGAAAGGTGTTGATGTGACTGTTGTGGAGAAATGGCTGAGATCTTCCCTTGCATATGATGATGATGAAGAGTAACCTTGACCTTGCCAATGTATTTACTTTCCCACCCATCCCCCCCTACACCATTTGCATTTAATATTGCTGCTCAGCTCAAGTCATTCACTTCTTGTACACGCTGTGTACAACTCATGTCAACAATAATCTTGGCATCAACTGTAGACAACTCATGTCAACAATAATCTTGGCATCAACTGTGTACAACTCATGTCAACAATAATCTTGGCATCAACTGTGTACAACTCATGTCAACAATAATCTTGGCATCAACTGTGTACAACTCATGTCAACAATAATCTTGGCATCAACTGTGTACAACTCATGTCAACAAAAATCTTGACATCAACTGTAGACAACTCATGTCAACAATAATCTTGGCATCAACTGTGTACAACTCATGTCAACAATAATCATGTCAACAATAATCTTGGCATCAACTGTGTACAACTCATGTCAACAATAATCTTGGCATCAACTGTGTACAACTCATGTCAACAATAATCTTGGCATCAACTGTGTACAACTCATGTCAACAATAATCTTGGCATCAACTGTGTACAACTCATGTCAACAATAATCTTGACATCAACTGTAGACAACTCATGTCAACAATAATCTTGGCATCAACTGTGTACAACTCATGTCAACAAAAATCTTGACATCAACTGTAGACAACTCATGTCAACAATAATCTTGGCATCAACTGTGTACAACTCATGTCAACAATAATCTTGGCATCAACTGTGTACAACTCATGTCAACAATAATCTTGGCATCAACTGTGTACAACTCATGTAAACAATAATCTTGGCATCAACTGTGTACAACTCATGTCAACAATAATCTTGACATCAACTGTAGACAACTCATGTCAACAATAATCTTGGCATCAACTGTGTACAACTCATGTCAACAATAATCTTGGCATCAACTGTGTACAACTCATGTCAACAATAATCTTGGCATCAACTGTGTACAACTCATGTCAACAATAATCTTGGCATCAACTGTGTACAACTCATGTCAACAATAATCTTGACATCAACTGTAGACAACTCATGTCAACAATAATCTTGGCATCAACTGTGTACAACTCATGTCAACAATAATCTTGGCATCAACTGTGTACAACTCATGTCAACAATAATCTTGGCATCAACTGTGTACAACTCATGTCAACAATAATCTTGGCATCAACTGTGTACAACACATGTCAACAATAATCTTGGCATCAACTGTGTACAACTCATGTCAACAATAATCTTGGCATCAACTGTGTACAACTCATGTCAACAATAATCTTGTTTTTAAGTTTGTATAACCACTTTTTAAATAAATGTCAAATATATTTTTAATTGTAAATTTTTTCTATAGATTGTACTATTTGATATTATTCATGTGAAATGAAAACTGTACCACAAATTATTGGACAGATTCTGTGACACTTGGTGTGAATGGTGTATAAGAAGAAACATTTTAACAATAACTGCAATTTACTTTTATCTTTAATTTTTTGATGTAATGAATTAATTTTTTTTGCTTTGTAAAAATGATTTGATAAATGAATTGTTCTGATCTCATACGGGTATCATGTCAATTATCTCATGTCAATTATCAGTGGTGTTCTGCTATTGGATAATTGTTGAAATTGTTGGTGGTGTTTGTGTTGTTGATGTGATATTGAAAGTATATTTTCCTGTACAGTTTTTATATGTATACAATGTGTGAGATGGTTCCATATACAAGTGTCAGATTGTTTTTGTTTACACCTATGTTTACACCAAACTCTGCTTGTTGAGCTCTTTGGTTACCAGGGCAACCACTGTTAGAACCACATAGATTTTCTCCCCTTGGATCAGCCACAGAAGGAAACATCCAGACTAGGTAATGTCCCCTTGGTTAATTTTTTCCCTTGTAATTTCTCAAATTCTCCAGTGGTAGTGACTGGTAAGCCCTATAGTCAGGTTTAAAGCTTTAAAAGTATTGTATGAGTGTGTGATTAGAATGCTGACATGTTAGAATAACTTGAGTTGACTTCTCAAACCATGTTATAAGCTCACAAATGTTGATCTTGCTACACTGTACTCACATTTACAATAACTGGCACAATATTTAAAGTGTTTGCTTTCCATATTGAAAGCATAGAGCCCTGATTTATTATTCATTTCAACATTTATTATTCATTATTCAACAGAATATGCAAGAAATATTTAAACGAATTGTCTTGAGTCTGTGTTCATCTTTGTTTAAGTTTTCATTATACTGAGGGATTTGTGTTGGTTTTTAATTTTGTGGTGATATATAGCCAGGTATTTCATTAGTTAGACATGAATTATAAGGTGAGAAAAAAGGTAAAAAAAAATATTTTTTAAATAATTTTAATACTCTAGCTCTAATGTTCAGCAAGACAGGTGAAGTAGAGTATATCTTATATGATAAGCACAGCTTGTATACTGTATAGGTACTATGCTATTACTGTTACACAAAGTACCACGACTAGTGTCAGGCACCTTCCTTCACACTCACAGTCTGTCTAAAATTTCGATGTAACTATTTGTTATGATAATTTTTACATTTTTAAAATAATTTTGTTACACATTTTTGTAACCTTATTTTACCACATGACATACTCACTCATAAATATTGCTTCGTTTGTAATACAATTTGTTTTCTAACTTTAATTTGTACACTCATGAATGCCCTGTCCCCTACTCTACTATACTGAACTGTCCCTCTTAAAGGTATTTTGTGAGGTTTTTATATTTAGTTGTGTTTATAAAATATATGTTTTTATAAAAGGATGTTGACTAAGTACCACATCTTTTTTACCTATTAAAAAAAACGTATTCTGACCATTGATTATAATTAAACTAGTACGTGCATGCATGTGTTGCACAATGCAGCAGTTATCTAACTTGTACATGGAGTTATCGCACATGACATGAATTATGATGAATCTAAAACAACGTTGTAAAAAGAAATATGAAAATAAATCTAAAATGTGAAAAACTCTGTTTATCTTCTTAGAAATTTAATTTATATGTCTACCTTAAAAGCATGGGTGAGAATGAACTTATGTAGGTGGAGACTTGCGTGTGAATGGTAGTAAAAAAAAATAATGAAGTAGTTTATGACGATGATCTTAAGACGTGCTGTAATTATAAACAGCAGAAATTGATGGGTGAAGCCGGGCTTAAAGTGTTGTCATGGAAACCTCGCGTTTAGCTCGTGATCTCCAACAGAGGTGTCTCATTAGTCAGTACAAGCCTCCATCTCCATACAATGAACAGTGAGACGAATGTTGTTGTTGTTGCTTCAGTCCCGACCTATGAGACGAATGTTGTTGTTGCTTCAGTCCCGACCTAAGTCCTAACACTGCTGCTGACACTAGTGGAGTGATTAGAAGAGTGAAGAGCCTTGAGTAAAGGCCTCTTCTCACCCCTCCCCCCCCCCACGCCACCACTCGGTCAACTCACGGTCATCAGAGGTCAGCACGTGCAGTCTGACCTTGTCTAAGATAGTGACACGACCTGAAGGCCTCCCACCATTCGGTCAACTCACGGTCATCAGACCCCAACTCCCTCAGCACGTGCAGCTTGGCCTTGGCCAGCGTGTACGTGGACACGGACCGCGCCCACTCTTCGGCCTTGACCCTTCTCTTCTCCAGCTCCACCCTGACCAGCTCTTCCTCCCCTCCCCCACCGCGGCCCACGCGGAGTGACGCCTCCTGAGACCACATGGCCTGCGACCTGCCGCTCCTGAGCGGGAAAGCCGTGCGGGACCTCAAGGCCTTGGCCGCCACGACCAGAGCGTCGTCTGCTTGTTCCCTTGGCCGTCCGCCCTGGTGGCGCAGCTCAAACGCCTGCCCGAGCTGGATGAACCGGAAGTTGGACTTGTCACGTGACGCCGAGCCCTGGAGCGAGTTGAGAAACTCGGCGCGGTTCTCGTTGACATACTGCAGGTACAGGGTCAACGGCCGGCAGTCGATGTACTCCGGCAGGGCGCTCACGGGCCGGCGTTTGTTTACTGACGTCATGGACAGTTTTCTCACACACGTCATGTCAAACTCAGGACTTAAGTCATCTGGTTTAACTTTGTTTTCGTCTAAGTCAGAATTTTCCCGGCTCACTTCTAGGTTGTTTGAATTATGTAACGTAATCTCTGGAACCACAGCGGTAGATATTTCATTACTTTCCTTGTCGTTACTTCCACTTTGAAGTTGCGCAAAAAGTTTCGAAAACCGGTCGAGCTTGGCTTTCGTTCTTTCGGCCTTGCGCAGGACATCGCGATCTTCGACTTGGTAGCCGGCATCTTTGAGAGCCTTATCGTGGCAGCTGAAGAAATGAGTTTTGGGCAGAGCGTAACGGAGCTCATTCCTCGTGTACGGGCGCTCAAAAAGCGAGACAAAAGGATTTTGTCTGCTGAAGTCAATGCACGTTTTTTGGATGGGCATCGATCGTTTGTGTGAGTTGACTCGTGCGTAACGGTTGTAAATATCAGCTCTGATGTGTGGTACTTCCGGTTCACGTTTATAAATAACTTCCCTTGCTTCAGAGTTATTGTTCTTTGTGAACGAGTTTCTGTTTGTTTTAGAATGATTGACATCTGCATTGAGATTTTTTGAGTTTTTCGCAGAATTTGGAGCTGAGACTTTTGGAGGCGCGCTGGCGGAAATACTGCGGTGGTTGTTGCTCCGTGTCAAGTCTTGATGTAGACCAAACGTTTTGATCGTCTGCTTTACAGTTCTAGCTGTCTGATATGGGCCAGCGGTCATTGGCCGACGGGTGATGTTTGTTACAGTCGAGTGTACGGGGATGTTTTTACATTTTGGCCTTTTCCTAGTTGTCTTTTTTGGTGGTTTATCGTTGCCGGCTAGAGTGTTGCCTCCTGGTTGAGGGGTAGTTGTCTTCTTTTTGGTCTTGGTAGTTTTCTGTTTGAGACGGCTGCCCTTGTCCTCTTGTTGCTGAGGTTCATTGGATGGTTCTGCGTGGCGTGTAGACAAACACGTGACGTCATCCACGCGCGGGAGCGAGGCGTTGGTCCCGCCAGGTGGCATTAACAATGTGACGTCACCGACTGATGTGCTGATGTCACTTAATGCATATTTTGACTCATGTGACGAGACGTCATCTACGTGTAGGGTGACGTCAGTGGATAGGTTTCTACTTACAATGTCTGTTTCACAAATCGCAGACGTCTGCGCATCAGTTTGACTTAGCTGACCACTGCTACATGTCGACGTATCTTGCAAGGCTGTGTGATTGGGTTCAGGTTCATTCAATGAGGCGCCATCGATCTCAATGTTTGATTGATTTGAGCAGCTGTCTGGCATGGAGTCGAACCTTGGACTATTCGCTCGTATGACGATATCAAGTAGCACGTCAAGGTTGTCTCTTGTGTTAGTTCCTGGGTCCTGGTCCTGTCGAGAGGACAACCGAATCTGACGTGATGACATATTGTTATGGTTTGATGACGTTACGCTCTGGTCAGACGACACATTGTTATCATCTGAAGTCAACAACATCTGATCTGATGACCTAAGGTTATGACCTGATGACATTTCTTTGTGATCTGATGACATAAGGTTATGACCTGATGACATTTCTTTATGATCTGATGACACCGCGTTAAGATCTGATGACGTTTTGGTAAGACCTGATGACATCTCGTTATAATCCGATGACATTTCGATATGCTCTGATGACATCTCGTTATGACCTGATGATATCTCGTTATGACCTGATGACATATCGTCATGCTCTGATGACATTTTTATACGTTCTGACATTTCGTTATGCTCTGATGACATCTCGTTATGATCTGATGACATCTCGTTATGATCTGATGACATATCGTCATACTCTGATGGTATTTTTATATATTCTGACATCTCGATATACTCAAATGACATCTGGTTAAGACCTGATGACAACTCGTTAAGATCTCGACCCAGGGACCCTAATGCGTGTAAAGACTCTCGTGTAAAGACACTCAGTGAACGTCCATGTTGTGTAGACCGGTCACTTTAAGTTCAACACACGAGAAAACATAACTGACATACCACACCAGATGGTCATTGTGGGACTCTACCGTTATTTGAACAGAGGAAGCAGAGTTGATCTTTCTCTTGAGTATACACTGAGTGCAGGCCTATTACCCCCGTCACTAGACGAGAATGTCTACTTCTACCTCGTTAAAAACAACCAAATGAAGATTCACAGTCTCTATGTAGAAGCGAATTTTAGTTCTTGAGTAACCTGCAAGGTTTCTCCCATGTAGTCAGGCTTTTGTCTTGTTCACAGTAGGGCGGCCTTCATGTCTGTAACACAAGATGTTTGCATTCAGCAAATTTGGTCAGATACCAACCACGCACACACGAACATTCAAATACCACACATACATATACACACATGTATACTCACGCATACATACACACACACTAACATGCCTATATATATATATATATATATATATATATATATATATATATATATATATATATATATATATATATATATATATATCTCATATAGGCTATATACAATTACATTGAAATGTGTGTAATACCTGAGCACGCAGTATGTATAGTGGAATCTAGATATCCACATTGTATCATCTGATGTAGATACATAATGGCGAAAGTAATATTTACATGGATCAAATATTGGCTATTCCCAAAAATATCCTTTAAAAATTTGCATATTTTTAAACAACACGAATAAAAATAAACAAGATCGTCTTACTTACATGAACATACTAAATGAAAATCAATCAATTTTATCGCTGTTTCACATCATAAATATAGTAGGCCGACACCAATATCGTAACCACTTAACAAACATAGGCAAATGTAAGGTACAGGGACCTCTCACATGTCAGGCTAGAGTTTGTGGACGAAAATAAAAGTTGTGGCCGGGTGTTCACTTGACTTCTGCAACACGCCTGCACAAACCTGTCAATCAGACTGTCGCTTCTGCCAGTCCGACTTGATTTTCAACTTCTCCCAAATTGGGTCCCAGGCCCGAGTTATCTCTCTTGCCTTATCTCTGGGTGGGGGTGATCTCCCCCCACTTCTCGTCTGCTGGGACTACCCGACCCCACGGGACCAACCGTTATCTTTTAATCACTGGGATTAACGTTACAAAGCTTGTCTTATTACTACAGTATTCATGAATTTATCAAATAAATATAACAAAATTTTGTCGTTTAAACATAATTAGTAAGTAGTAAAAGTAAAGTTCCCTTTCAAACCTGACGGTCTATGGGGCAAGTGAAGTAGAGTTCACTTGTTTCTGTGACCTCGGCATATGAAGAGCACTATGCCCAGCCGCCTTTACTTTCCCTAACGTGAGTTAGGTACCCATTAGAGTTGGGTGGACTCAGGGACGATCTACTGACTAGAACCCGGATTCGAACTCGAGACTTACGGGTTAGTAGTCCAGCTCTCTACCGCTAGACCACTCCGTCCCATTTTTATGATAATTACAAAAGGTAATTCAGGAGCAAGGTTTCTTTCAGATATTTTTCCACGGGGAAGGTGGGGGCACTTTAAATATCCGTGGGAGGGGGGCACTGGTTAAAGTATATATTTACTGCTTTAAATAAAATACCTTTCAAAATAATACATTAATTTTAATTATACTTTGCCCATTATTATTATTAAAACGAATTAAGAACTGTTAGGCTCAAGAGCTTTTCAAGCAGCTAAAAAGTTTTAAATGTCACAAACATGGAATCTGACATAGAACTGACAGGAAACCAGAGTATCGTGACCTTGTCAATGAAATCCCCCTCCCTCCCCTCCATACCCGTTTAACGGTTCGATATTGAACTGTTCAAGAGGGTCGTCTGATAAAATGTGACCCTCGTCTGATAAAATTTGCCCCTCGTCTGCTAGTTTTGTTTGGTTAACTCTTTCATGACCAAATTTAATCTTTATAAACTTAGCACGCAACTTATCAGCTGTTTATTTTAACCAAAACACATCGCACCTTTAGAAATCACATGTGTTTAATTAAACACTCAAGCAAGCGTTAGACCGGTGTTAAATTCAATTTAAATGTGACCTTCTAGTCGTCTGCTAACTCCTTATCGCCTGTCTGGTTCGTTCAGTGTTAGAGAAATTTTTATGCTCGCAGACGACACGAAAAGGTGGAACTTGTCTACGAGAAATGTTTTAATGTGAGAGAAATACACGCCCAAAACACTTATTCACTCCAGTCAGATACTATCTTACTTAGATGTAATGTGAAGAAATACAAGCCCCAAACACTTCGTCACTACAGCAAGATCATCATCTTACTTAGATTTAATGTTGTAAAAATAAAACTTGCGAAGGCAACGACGGCTTTATGTTTATGATATATATTTCTGTTAATTTGGTACGTTCCTTAAAATGTAATATATGGTGATGTGTGATTGTAGTTATTACGTGCGAGGTGCTATGATTGTGTTGTGGGCCATCCTAGTGCTGTATGATTGTAGTAATGTGTATTTAACATACACGGTACACGGTACTGTACCCTTGTGCCACTGAAACAAAATTATGACAACGCCATCAATACAGGGAAACAACTCATAAAAATAAATGTACCGAATTATCTTTGTTACCTCCCTTGAGTGAAATTAAATATTCTTTGATAACGGACTAGATCAGATCATTTAGCAAGGGACTCCCCCAATGCTATCGTGTGTGTTAATTTAGTATTTGCCCCTCCCCGTGGCGGCTACTAATGGAGTAAGTTATGAGGGGGGGGGGGAGGGTGTAATTACACAGATGATGATCGTGTGTGTTATGATGCTTTGACCTGAATTTATGGAAATCTACACGGAGTTTACACAGGGGATTAGTCCGATGTAGAACATAGATTGGTGGGATTGTTGTTTCACATAGATTGGTGGGATTGTTGTTTCACATAGATTGGTGGGATTGTTGTTTTGGTGGAACATAGATTGGTGGGATTGTTGTTTCAGTAGAATATAGATTGGTGGGATTGTTGTTTCAGTAGAATATAGATTGGTGGGATTGTTGTTTCAGTAGATCATAGATTGGTGGGATTGTTGTTTCAGTAGATCATAGATTGGTGGGATTGCTGTTTTGGTGGAACATAGATTGGTGGGATTGTTGCTTTGGTGGAACATAGATTGGTGGGATTGTTGTTTCAGTAGAACATATATTGGTGGGATTGTTGTTTCAGTAGAATATAGATTGGTGGGATTGTTGTTTCAGTAGAACATAGATTGGTGGGATTGTTGTTTCAGTAGAACATAGATTGGTGGGATTGTTGTTTTGGTGGGATTGTTGTTTCAGTAGATCATAGATTGGTGGGATTGTTGTTTCAGTAGAACATAGATTGGTGGGATTGTTGTTTTAGTAGAACATAGATTGGTGGGATTGTTGTTTTAGTAGAACATAGATTGGTGGGATTATTGTTGTGGTGGAGTTGTTGTTTCATCTAATTATTGTTGTATGTGTAATTATCGATGGAAGACTAATTGGGGTGAGAAATTGGCAGAGTTTCTTCCAGGCAACTCTTCGGGGGGGCTAAGCCCCCCCCCCCCTGAAAAATTTTTACCGGCCCCCCCCCCCCGAACGAAATGAAATTTATATACTTTATATAGAAAATATATACTTTTAACAGTGTCCGCCCCCCCCCCCCCCCCGAAGAAAGTCTACCGCCCCCCCCCCCCGGAGAAAAAAGTCTGGAAGAAACACTGGAAATTGGCTGTCGGTGGGAAACTGATCGAGGTGGGAAAAGACTAGGCCTACATGTTTTTACGTTAAAGTGGCATTCAGTTAACAGTGTGTTGGAATGCTTAAACTATGGTGAATATTTTCGCCATTTTGTTATCGGTTAAATAATTTGACACGCATGAGAGATACGCAGCCCCGGTGGCACAATCGGTTAGCGCGCCGTACTTATAGACAGTACCTTCCCATTGTAACCAATGGAGTCAAGTCATGCGGAGGTTGTGAGTTCGATCCTCACCCGGGGCAGGTTTTTTTTTTTTACCGTAAACAGAAATTTTACAAACTTTTATTAAAAGGGTTTTTTTCCCTTAGAATTTTGTTTAGTTACCAAAAATTACTAGAACCCTAGGTAGGCCTACATCCAATTGGTAGGGAAGTTTTACGAAAACCTCGCAACCAAGTTTTTGTAATCGCGTATATTTTGATAACACTGCTCAAGATTTTAAAAATATTCCCTGTCCATTTGGAGAATTTCCTGGGGCGGTGGCATTGCTGTCTTTTAAACATATCCCACATATTACCGTAACCATATCACACACATTACCGTAACCATATCCCCCACATTACCGTAACCATATCCCACATATTACCGGGGCGATATCCCACACCGTTAAAAGTATATATTTTCTATATAAATTCCATTTTGTTCGAAGGGGGGGGGGGGCGAAGAGATGCCTGGGAGAAACTCTACCTTACTGTCAGGCTAAAAAGGTGACTCATATTTAGGCCTAAACATGGTTTATCAACAATTGACAGTTTTTTTATGACGTAATATGATGGAAATATGATCGCGTTAAGTCTATAATATTTAATTTAGTAAACAAGGCAGGAGCTTGTAAAATATAAACATGGTGGGGCAATGGCGTACTGGCTACACGTGATGTCAGATCTATTTTTAGTCAAACTCAAACCTGATTGGTCGAAACTTCCAGAATTTGAGTTACCTTGTAACAGATGTCTGTGACGTGTTGTCGTCTGGGTCGGCGGTTGGTCAACAACAAAAGTGTTGTCCAGTCTGGGAGATAACCATACAAACACAAACACTACAAACACAAACAATACAAATACAAACACAAACACAAACAATACAAATACAAACACAAACAATACACATACAAACAATACACATACAAACAATACAAATACAAACAATACAAATAAAATGTTGGCCTGTCTACGGGATAAGTTGACTATACCGCATCTCAGTGTTTACAATGTCCATATTGTGAGTTGTTCAGTGTGTAGTAACATTGACACACTATGCTGTTATGTTACACACTGCTCACAATTCATCGCACTTAGTTCAGACCTTCAATACACACATGTGCTAGTTAATTTTTAAAAGTAAGGTTAGGACTAGCTAGTTAGAGTTACGTTCTGATATTAGAGATTCGCTCAACCTAGAACTATGTGACATAGATGCAGGTATATTGATGGGGGTTTTGTATACATTACACAAAACACAGAGGGTTAAGTTTGGTTTATTTTTATCTCATCGGGTACGTTGCAGGTATACTGTCTCGTATACCTGTGTGTTATATGGG